AGCGTAGCATCAGATGACCCGTGTCTCCCGTCTTTAACAATATTATTGTTCACGCACGGGCGGGAGAGAATGTTTAGTTGTAAGCCTTAGAAATGTTGGTGTTCACCGAAACTGTTTATAATATGTCACCTGACAATGTCAAAATGAATGAACCCATTTAATCTGAAAGACATGAGTAACCTTGCCCCTTGTGTCCCCCCTTACAGACGCCAGAGCAGATGTTTAATAATATCACTCACGCACACACGCGCACTCTCACGCACGCACACCTACAGCTTGCTTTTCCAACAGCAAAGAAAACCTGTGGCTGTTAGTTTCAAGTCGATATTGGCCCGTGAAGATCCGGGCTAGAAGTGATCTTCAGCAACCCATGCTTGTCGTAAGAGACTAACGGGATCGGATGGTCAGGCTCGCTGACTTGGTTGACACATGTCCTCGTATCCCAGTTGCGTAGATCGATGCTCATGCTGTTGATCACTGGATTGGTCCAGACTCGATTATTTACAGACCGCTGCATATAGCTGCAATATTGCTGAGTGTGGCGTAAAAATAAACTCACTCAAGTCGATATTTCAGTCTGTGGCTGTTTCACAGTGCTAGCCAACTGACATACCATACCACAGTGGCATTGCTATCCCACGTAGACACAGTATGTTCACAAAAGTCCTTGTTTTATCTCATTTATGCCGAGCGCCAGACAATAAAACAAAAAGTATCATCATTTAAACTGTTCTTTGCATGAGACGGTCAGGGATAGAGTGCGGAAGTATTCGTTTAGGGCCAACGTGGCGTAAAGAACACAACGTGCGTATATCGGGACCTATATCATACCGGTAACTTCCCTGGTTATTTTTAGCCGATAGATGGTGGTTTAATTAAAACTATACAACAGTCTTCACGATAACCATGTTACCTAAAGATAAAACGTCTTCACCGACGTCCCCAGGTCCCCGTCAACGATCGAAACTGTTTACATACCTCGGAACTTTGACAATAGCGTTTCACTTACGGCACCGCCTGTCAACTTCGTGTACCTGACGTAATGCATTGTGCCTACGATGTTGATTTCTCCTGGCTATGCCTCAAAGCAATAAAAAATACATAGGTTACGATACAACACACAATGTGTCACGTTAAGCAAAACGGTTCACTCCTATGGCTTAACCGACATCGTACGGAGAATAATACAGATTGTCCGAGATGACTATCGGCAAGTGCTTGTCAGTATACCCGTACACAATACTTACACTAGGTCGTGCGGTAATAAACACGTGTGGAATTGACACCTGTCAGTCACGTAAAGAAAACACCTTTGTGAGCGTGAGATATGTACTGGAAAAGAAAATCATAAAACATATTATTTGGAAAATTTATGACGTAGCAATATCGTACCCAGGGCGCCAATAGAGTAATATCTGTTCAAAAGTTGCGTTCTACATTTCATCGAAATCACCCTAACATATACATAGAGGTGTTTATACGAATATGTTCACTGAATATGAGTCACTGTCGCTTCTTGCTTTGTTGTGGTTGTGGGACTGAGACGAAGGGGGCAGTTTTATCAGAACGTTATGGCGGTAATAACCCGTTTTATTACTGTATTATTCTATACATATCCATAGAATATTTGTTTTTATTTCAGCATTTGTGTTTGGTTCCCTACGTGTAAACACCACCAAATACACCTTTATATATTGAAACAGTGAACCTTTGCCGCGGAACAGGCCATGTCATTGCATGCAGGGGTGTTAGGGTGGTATTATTGGCTGTCCAGCAAATCTAATAAAGCTGATCCGTACAAGATTCATTGACGTTAAATGTTACAATGTTAAAATGTTCAGACAAATGGGCATAGACAGATCAACTCATAAGTCAAAGTGACACGTATATATGTGTGAGCTTGTGATATGGTACGGAGTGGCAGGGTAGCCCAGTGGTTAAAGCGTATATTCGTCACGCCGAAGACCCGTGTTCGATTCCCCACATGTGTACAATGTATTAAACCCATTCCCTGCGTTCCCCGCCGCGATATTGCTAGAATATTGCTAAAAGCGGCATAAAACTAAACTCATTCACCCTTTCACTCCAAGAGAATATTGATTATGTTAAAGAATAGGTGAAGTTATAAGCGATCTATTCCATAAACGCACAGGGACTCTTCAAAGTAGTCTAATGTATGTTATATATGTGATTTGACTTTTTAGAAAGGTATAAATTCTAATACTTTAGGGGTTCAATCCAATCCAGAATTCGAATACACGCTGTCAAAATGACAATTCCTTCCAACCAAATTATCAAAGATCGTTACAGACCGCTAGTGACAAATATATATCCATTGCCTATTCGCCCATTACTTGGCTTTTTCATGTTCATAAGTACATCACAAATTGACATATTTTATCACATAAACCTTTTTGTCCTTTTATCAATCATCCCAAAGTTTGAAATCAAGACCTGTGTTACAGATATCGAATTTCATGACACGTGTTTATGGCCCAACTTAATGTCGGCACTGTACGGCATGTCGGTGTGTTAATTGTGGAGGAAATTGTGATGTTATCAGCTCCGTGTACTAGCGAGAGTGGTCAGACATTGTACAGATACTTATCGCCGCGTGGTTTGTGGGAATCTGATAGGACGGCGATAGGACAGTTGATGCTGCGGTAATTGAAATAAACATCACTCCGGGCAATAACGAAATTATCGACCAACATCACTATGGGCAATAACAGAATTATTGACCACTGCAGGCTGAATATTATTTCCTGTACACAGCGCATGCACGTGTGGGTGTGGGGTTGTTTGCCGCTGGGCTGGCCGGCTGGTTGTTTCGGAGGGATTTAGGTCTGTTCCCCGTCACACCACACATATACTTATCGCAAGGCGTCAATAGAACAAGGGATGGGTGTTACAATGTGTATGTCGTCTCTCTGACGAGGTGGCTGGTGTCCAATGCCCCCAACAACGTATTGGCATGGACCCTCAAGCTGTAGTTCGCTGCGACTTAAAACTACATTCACCCACTATTTCTGCGATGATTGGTTCGTTGCAACGTGTAAGTTTCTTACCACACAATAACCACTAAGCAAACTGATAAGACAAAAAAAATCATTAATAAACTAACCGTCCATTACACATATGATGGATCCGCGTTCAACGGTTGACAGTGCGTTCGCTGTTTAAAATAGACGCAGTGATTTAATATTAATATTCTATTTTTCGGCATCAACACTACACATAAATTTGAATACGCGTTTATTGCAGCTAATATAGGCCCGAGGATAGTTTAGTCAGATGGTATATGTGCAATCAGGTGGACCAATGATAAAGGGAGCTGTCTGTGCCTCGCTCGTGTACCGCCACTTTCCCAAGGGTAAAGCTCAATTAGATCGATAACAACTTTCTCATTTCACTTGTCCTCGATTTACCGAGCGTGGCCTGAAGGTAACTCCGACACAATGGTCTCTTTGTATATTCTCGTCCTTAAACGCGTCCTCCGAGCGAAACCTTTTAAAATATATAATGACAAGGAGAAGTGACAATTATTATGGTGATCTCTGTCAGTGAGAGTTAGTGCATGTTTTATATGGCTGACGGAACTGTGCCGTGTAGTCAAATACGTCCACAATGGACACTAATATCGCTATCGTCATTATTTGATGTGTGAATAAGATAGGGGTGTATTCCTCCCCGTGTGACCCACATCATATACGAGACAATTTTCTCGATATATTAAACGATAACTGAAGGTATTGTGCTGTAGGTATTTAATATTAATAAGAACTATCAATATCTGGGTGGTCTTTTTGTTAATCATGAAACTATTTTGCGTTATTTCGATTTATAATAGTTATGTGATCATGAAACAAATTATGTGATATAATCAAATATATATATATATTAATTCTGGCGTTTATATTTCCACCAAAATGCGGATCCCTGTTACTACAAATGGGCATTTGGATATTTCTAAACTGTGACACCATCGAGTAAAATAGGAATAAAGTAGGCCTAAGTTGTTTTATGAATGACCATCGTACATCAAACTAAAGTTGTTAACAATAATCTTTAATTACAGACAGTGTCTAAGTTTCAAATTAAGCGTCAGAACCTATATTTTCGGAGCGAATTCCTAATAAGCATTTCCAACAACTGATCTTTAGCATAGACTGAAGCTTAGTCTCTAAATATGTATAATTTTGATAGAAACCAATAATTCCATTTCAATTTAAAAGGAGCCTCAGTGACTTTGGAGATTCAGAACCCGGACCTGAGGAAATCTAGACTTGCTTTATTTAGGGCTATAACATTCAGAAAGGGCTAGACAGAAGGGAAAGTAATGTGGCTCAGGGACCGTGAGACAGTATCTTCGCAAAATTTCACGTTTTCCTTGTTTTGAGAGTTACCTCCCTTGTCAAGCTTTTTGTGTTGAAAAGCACAAAAATGATCCATTTCCGGGATAGAAAAGTTGTGTAAACAAACTCTTGTAAAGTAGTTGAAATATTTTCTGGCAGATGTTTCTTTGCATATGAGATGTACAGTGTCATGTCTGTACTTTCGTCTCCCGCTACAGGTATCTAGCTCTGTTTTCTTCTGGAAAATGTTGACTGAAAGTTCGTTCAGCATAAAGTTTAAAACTTTTCTTGAATTCACCGATAAGAGCCACATTCAATTCATTTGTATCCTTATTTAGTCTTCATTGTGATTACAGCAGTATATGTTACCTATTCCAAAACAGACCCCACTGTATGTATTTATTATATATCATAATATACTCCTGGTCATATGAAACTCTATTGAAAGAGAATTATTGACATTTGTTTTGACAACCGTGTCACGTGTTTATTCCTTGATGCTTCAGTTATTCCATCTATTTGATGAGGGTATGTAAATTAGAGATCCTGACCACCTGATCTTGTTTGTAGCCTGACAGCTTTCAATTCTAGCCCGGATCTTCATAATATTAATAATAAATGTTCTAATTTTAAACTTATTTTCAGCTCATTTAAAGGCAAAGCTAAAGTCGCCTGGCAGACAGAAGTGAACGGGGATGGAGAGCTGTTCTATCTGGACACAGGCAAGGTTGAAGATGCCCTTCCACTGAGTGTACCCACCCCCACAACTGTGCCACACCCATGTTGTGAGTCATCAGCAGGGTGGTGCAGCACCAGAAACTGCAAATGCTCCAACAGTGAAGACACAGGTTATTCCACAGACAATGACCAGCCTTCACCCAAAAATGAAAAAGTTTCCAAAAAATCAAGTCGGTTTTCTTCATTTTTAAAAAAGAAAGACTCCAAGTCATCCAATGAGACGAAGGATGTGTGTAGTGAGGCTGAGTGTTACTGTCCGGACATGGAATCTGTGAAGGAAGTGGTGCTACTTGTGGACCCGGGGCTACGGCCTGTGGGCAGACCTGGGGAGACGCTGTGTGAGCGCTTGTTGGGCATTATTCCTGGCATTCTGGGAACTAATGGGCATACTGTAAAGAGTACGGACTTGGACAGAGAGAAAATCATCGTGAAAGGTTTCGTTCCTGATGGACCTGCAGTCAAGTTTCGAGATATAAGAATAGGTAGGTTCGCGATTATGTCATTTGGTTGGTTTTCCTAATCTATTTACCCTTCATAAGGTATGAGTGGCATTTATCTTTTATGTATAACCTTTTCTGGTATAGACATGTAAGTATTTAGTCACTGTTCTCAGGTGTTGATCATGACTATGTTTAGGATATTGACTCATCAAAAGGGCATTCAGGACCATTGACTGTAAAAAATGACTGACCCTATGCTGTTACTCCCACCCATATACCGGAGAACTGATAAACTCTATAATACAAGTGTTAATAGTTCAAGTAATAATTGACTGCAACTTGTGCTCAAGCACATTTAGCCATTGTAGTTTAGTTGGTTCACAACTGCTCAATCTCTAACAACAAATGTAAAGCTCTGTGTATGATTTTTGCACACCCTGTTGTCAATATATTCTAAGCTTATAACAATTACAGTGAACATAATATACAAGCATACAGGGGTAGGATTTTCTGCAGCTACCTATATTCTTGAAGTGAGTTAAGATGGCTGAATGTATCTTTAATTTGCATTGGGAATGTGTCACCTATACACATGGTTTTCCAGTGAGATTCAGTAATAGCAAATATATTAAGGTCATTTGTGTTGGTGGTTAGTGCATCTATTACAGTGCATGCTGATAACCTCATGTGATAACCTCTGATAATGATAACCTCATGTGATAACCTCAGCTGATAACCTCTCTTGAACATGTTGCAAATACGCAAGCATTTCTCCTATCTTAGCAGTAAGACACACGCATACAATGAATATGTTGTATCCTTCAGATAAACACAACATGGAGGGGAATTGTGATGTCATGGAAGTGGGTGTGTCATCGTCATTGATTAAAGGTCTAATTCTCATGTGTCTTAAACAGTGAAAAGTCACTCTTTACTTTATACCTGTATCATTGTATATATCAATCTGCTGGTTTCCATGGTGATCATAGTTGTGTGAGATGTGATCCAATTTTTATGATCTTTCCTCTATCTTCACAGACAATTTAATGCTACATGTGCACATCATTTTATCTTAGGGTTCAAAGGATCCATAGTTACTCATTTCAAGGGTCCTTACAGAAAATATGAGTCTCGGTGTAAAGTAATGAAAAGGTGTAGAGTACTTTATTGGAAGATGTAATAATTTCTGATACATTTACAGCAGGAACTGTATATTTCTCATCAGGAATTTGGTAGAGTGAATATTATTCTATACATTTAAGTGTACTGGATGTTCATTTCTACAATGCCCAATGGGGCGGTGGGGTAGCCTAATGGTTAAAGTGTTGGCTCGTCACACCGAAGACCCGGGTTCGAATCCCCACATGGGCACAATGTGTGAAGCCCATTTCTGGTGTCCCCCGCCGTGATGTTGCTGGAATATTGCTAAAAGTGGTGTAAAACCAAACTCAGTCAGTTAGTCAGTACAATGCTCAACACCCTGTGTAATGATGATAATATTCAATAGGGCTGTATACTTTGAGAGTACCCATTGGTACAATAGAAATATTGTAGTTAGCATGATTTGTATTACATGTCTTAATCATGTTATAGTGAAAAAACTGTCCAAGGAGTGGACATGGTAGATACGGGTACACCGGATCAATCCATGCACAGGTACAACATTTAAAGCTGTTCCAGACTTCTTTGATATAACACAAGAATGCTTAAAGTTGTATAAAATGCTTACACTCTCACTCCAATAAATGATATATGGTGACAAATTGTGACACTTCCCCTGGGGACGGTAATGCTGGGTGTTTGTGGAGGGATGTGTGTGAGTATATCTAATGGCCTGTGTGAGAGTGAGGGACGCTGTGTATCGCAGCATGGGGAGAGTGGTTGCCATGCTGTTGACCCCCGCATTGCCTACTTGGAATGCCCCAGTCTTTAAAGGATTACAGTACAACTTCATCATGGACTTTGTTGAACTTGTAACCAGCGGTCGCCAGTTGCTTCATTGTTTAGATTAGACGTTTTATTTCAAATGACAACCATTTTGGCAAATTCATGGTTTTGGTTTGTACCAAGGCCAGCAGTGGGTTGTGGGGTGGATTAAGGTGCATTCATCTTCGGCCCCCTTGGTTGGTTTGTTAAAAGGGATTGTTTGTGTGTCATCAATCTCAGACAGATAAAAATTTACTTCTTGTATCAACCACTGGATGTCTGGTCCAAAATTGATAATCTCTTATTACACATTTGCCTTAAATCTACTCTTATTGTTCCAAACATGGATTTCTGATCATGAATCACTTGGACTCCTCAATGATAATAATGACTCATTCCTACTCCCATGGTAGTTCACAACCCAGTCTCACTATGACATAATGTGAGAATAATATTAATAATCATGATAGTGCATATACAGTAAAATACCTCCAACAAACTCCAAATGGACCACTGAAATTAGTTCGTTATATCCGTAGTTCGCTATTCACTTTTTATATGATAATATAAGGTTTATTCTGGACTTTTAAAACAGTTCGCTATAGCCGTCAGTTTGTTATATCCGTGTTCGTTATAAAAGTATTCTACTGTATACAGTGTTTGACTTCCAACTATAGCTGCACAACAGATCAATACAATATTATCCCTGGTCAAAGGATTACTGTACACATTGTTGTTTACTCTTAGAGCCCGAGGGAGTACATAACACAAGTTGTCTATGAGGTGTTAATAAGTTAATGATCACATTGCCAAGTCATCCTACCGGGTACCCATACACTGCTGAGTGAACAGAGCCATTTTTCAAACGAATAGACATACAGACAGGATATTTCCCATCTTCCCTAAATTGCAATAGATATGGATGATATATTTTTACTTGTTTAGGTGACTGGTTGAAGTGTATCAATGGCCGAGATGTGGGCTGGTCAACAGTTGATGCCCGCCTCAAGTCTATCACCAACCCGAAGAAGGTAAGACTTTTATACCTAACTCTGTCACTAATTGAACAAGGTGATGCTTTCTCCAGTTTATCACCAACCAAAAGAAGGTAAAATATTGATGCTTAACTCAAGTCATCGAAGTGCCAGCATTCCATTTATTCAAATGTACCTCTACACTGACCTGTCTTCAACCACATAGATTGTTTCCTAGCAACTGGAAGTTTATAAAAGTCTTCATTAATCTCAAATTGTCCAAGCCAACATCCGCTATCTCAGCGATATTGTCCCGCAGAGAAAGGGCGAGCTGGACCGATTGTGTCACAGAATGTTTTCTGGCTGACTGTAGAACACAGCGGTTTGCCCCTGCACACTGTAGGTACGAGGCCCTTTGTAGTTGGGCTGATTGACAGGTAGTGATAAATACGATGTCATTATCAGAGTCAAGTAGCAGGACAACTGTGGGAAGCAACATGCCATTAACTGGAGATTGTTTCGGACATTGTAGTCTCACGGACTACGTTCGGACAAACTGACCATTTGTCACTTATCATGCTTATTGTGCTATTTGTATGTCCCACATTGATGGTATTTCATGTGTGTAGGTATTGACAATGTAGGTATCCATCACTGGACACTGTGCATTGGACTGTCCAGGGTCATGCTTAAATTTGAACCCTTGCTTTGAATCCTGAGAGTTACAGTTTTTTAGTGATTTTACTGAATTTTCTTTTGATCTTAAATATTTTCTGATGAAAAAGTATATTTTGCAAATGAACAACCTGGTGCTTAAAAAATACAATCTCTACAAAAATCTCAAATTAACCTTCAGAATTTCTTGAATTTATGCTTTTCAGCTGCACTCATGATATTTCATAAAAAATTTCATCTAGCGGTGCAACATTTTGTTGGAGAGAACTTTATGGTCTAACTTTGTTTTAAATTTTTTATACCTGTAGACATATTACATGGTCAATATGTATTATTATATACTATATGGTCTAACTGTTGACAACACTAATCTCCCTTTCAAGGTTTTCAAGACAAGCCATTACACACCATTACACACCATGTCACCTTGAATGTGGATATTTTACATAACACCGCCCTTCCCCCCATCCAGGGAGTGTTGGATAACCATGCTCTTGTATACGCCTGTCAATACTTCCCGTAACACTCGTGGCAGTCGTTGAACTATTACTCAGTAAATACTCAACGTTGTCCAACAGAGCCTTTGTAATTTTGTGAAAAACTTGACAAATACTCGGTCTGACAAATGCCCAAACAAAGAGATCTGTTTGAATTATCTCCAGCAAACATATGTTGGGTGGTGGCCTCAGTCACTCCATGTCTTAGAGGATATCAGATGTTATATCATGGAGTAGGCTTGTCACATATGCTGATATGTATTTCTAGAAATGGTGTTTATTGTATGCTGAGCTGGTGACTATTATGAAGATTGTGAAAGTGGTTGTCTTTTCTCATTTTTTTGCCAAAGTAGTCACACTGGTAAAAGACATGCCAACATGGAAAATGTTTACTTATGTGACACACGTACAAGACAATGAATGAATGAATGAATGAATGAATGAATGAATGAATGAATGAATGAATGAATGAATGAATGAATGAATGAATGAATGAATGAATGAATCTAGTAATTCAAAGAAATGAAATGAAATAAAACAATGTTTTATTAATGCTGAATTCGATCACAATTAATTATCTAATAGATGATCATCTTGTAAACACAATATATTCATGGTTTCAGTCATGTTCTATCGTTTAAAGTTGTAAGATATTGTAATATTGTAAGATTGATAATTAGGTAAGAAATGATAGTCATCTTCAGACGAACATTATTTTATGTCCAAGATATTTTATGGATTAAACTTCTTTTTAATTTCTCTCACTACATTGCGAGACCATTCCAGGTCCCTTCATCAGTTCAGTTCTCGTCGTGAGAGAAATTAAAAAGAAGTTTAATCCTTAAAATATCTTGGACATCAATGTACAACTTCTAAATGCCACTGAAAGACAACATTGTTTTAGTTTAATAATCTAGTGTCTGAAAAATATTTAAAAATTCAGATAAACATTTTTTCAATTTTATTTCATTTTAGCGTTACATATGTATAGACATTTTTTGTTAAATCAAGAATGATAATAAATACTATTAAATAATACTGATTATTGTATGATTGTTGTGAATATTTTTAGTTGCCAAATGTTTAAAACATACATGTCATCATTGTCTGTAAATAGAAATAAGCCAATACAAACAGTGATTTGCTGTGCAGTCTGTCAAACTATTTGTCAACTGGTGTTTGTTTGTACAAACACAGGGATTCGTAGAGCAAAGATGTTGCATTACGTGTAGTTCTCCATGTCAGTGTACTGTAAATCTTTCACTATCTCTTAAACTAAAGTTTGTTGTTCTGTGAATTCTCTGTTATCTCCATTACTCTGTGCAAGGATATAATTAAGAGGAAAATTCCAGTTAGAATCAACATTATCCCCAAATTACATCACCAGTTTTACAAGACCACAACAACTGTTTTGTGCAACTGTTTAAGATCTCATCAGAATGTTTGAAATAGCTCACATTGTCCTGCAGAGAATTAGTGACCTCATTTTTGCTAAAATATAAATAAAAAAGATCTCTAGTGGAGGGTGGGAGTATATTTCCCTGTGAGCATGAAAGCAACACTGGTATGTTGTAATCAATCAATCAATCAATCAAGGAGACGAGGGTGTCTTGTAAGTTTCACACTCCAAGCCCAGGAGAGATAATCTTAAATCTAAGTCTCCCACCAATGAAAGGGTAGGTTAATCCTTTAATCCTCATCTGTGGGTCCAAATAATCTGATAATCCGCTGCGGTAGGCTTCATATGATAACATGGGATTTAGGACTGTACACAATGTAATGGGTTTGTACACTGTTGACAGATGTATGTCAAAACTTGTTTTGAACTTGGAGCTGGCGATTACAATCATTTGTGAAGTCAGCCCATGTGTTGCCACGATTAACATGTCATTTGTTGGTAAAACTTGGGACACACTATGACATGTCGTTTGCAAAAAGTAAACAGGTGTTTATGACATTTTTATGCTGTTTGAGTGAGTGAGTGAGTGAGTTTTGGTTTTAGCAATATTCTAGCAATATCAAGGCGGGGCGCACCAGAAATGAGCTTCACACATTGTGGGGAATCGAACCCTGGTCTAACCACTAGGCTACCCCATCGCAAGTTTAACAAATGTCTGAAACATTCGTTTTTTGACAGCTGCTAAAACCGATTGAAGAATAGTTCAAGTAAACATTTGTATCTCTGCATGAAAGAATATGTACAAGTGACTATCAGAGAGCATTGTCCACTACAATAACCTTTACCCTGTGTTTGTATGGACACAATGACCCACCTTTGATATTTGTGTTTACACTTAGTTAAGCATTTCTATGACGGTTTCCATGGTTACGCTATGATGCCAGTAAGTATTTCCTCTTCACACATTGGGTACAATAGCACTAATAACACATGGCTGGGCACACTCTGATGTTTGACCAGGTGCTTGTTGAAATGGACCTACATATTAGGAAGTTGTCACGTCAGTTTCTCCATCACCTGTCAAGCACTAACAAACATCGTCTTTCACTCCTTCTTGACTAAAGTATTGAGGGCCAGTGTCAAAAGTTCACGTCATTAAATAGTAATTATGTTAATTAATTGAGTTATTGATAGGCATGAAGAAATGTCTTTTCATACCTTTCATATTTATTGATGAAATATGGTGACATTATTAATTGCCCTCTTTTATATTATTTTGTGTTAGGTATTTAGACATTATATTTATTTTTTGACACAGTCCCTTATAGCGTGGACGTATGGCCATTGAGGTGTTTTGTTATTTGGCACAGAGCTGTTGATTAGAGCTGACAGGGGCTTTGTGGGATATGATTTGGGATGGTTTAAGGATTAGACGATAGGAAATGCATGTAGTCAGTTGAAGGAGGTTCGAAGGGGATCTGTTTGTCAAGACTGATCTATGTTGATTGTGAAATACAATATGTCAGATAGAAGGCAGTAGCATTGTGAAGTGTATTGATTAATAGCTCAACATGGAAATCATTCTGAAGACCTGGTAATACTTTGGTAATAAGTCGTCCTGTTGTGATTCACTCCCGTATTCAGTGAATTGAACTTGCACTTCGTGAATTCAGTTTGTTAGTCGTGGTGACAAGAATTGAATATTTACTAACTTTTCTTAAAAGAGTGGGTCTTTTCTTGGAACTTGTCTGTTACTTGTCTTTGTTCCCCTGTTGCATGATCATGCTTCATATTAATGGAGTATTGCTTAGCGTGGCAATCATTGTAAAATTCTCCCAGTAGTAAGCCAGAGTTTTAGTATGGTATATCAGTAAAGAAGCAGTTGAGACATTTTATGTTTTCTTGGTTGAAAGTTCTTATTGTGTTCTTCATGCTCCAATTCAGCCGGTGGGGTAGCCTAGTGGTTAAAGCGTTGGCTCGTAGTGGTTAAAGCGTTGGCTGTCCCCGCCGCGTGATGTTGCTGGAATATTGCTAAGACCCAAACTCAGTCATTCAGTTCAATCCCCACATGGGTACAATGTGTGAAGCCCATTTCTGGTGTCCTTAAAACCAAACCGTGATGTTGCTGGAATATTGCTAAAAGCGTGACCAAGGTTTAACCAAACTCAGTCAGTCAGTCATGCTCCAATTCAAGTCCTTCATTGCACATGTGTGAAGTATTCTCTTGACGAAGGTTTAACAAAAACTCTCCTTCCTTGATGATATCCTCAATGGTGGTTACTGCCCAGAATGGGTCCCTAATAACCTGGGCTTATCATAAGAACATGAACTGTCTTGAAGTGAATCAGGTGACTGCATATCAACAGCTGATGTCCCTGGGCTTATCATGGCATGTCTTGAAGTGTCAGGTGCTCACCTTGTCAATCACGTGTTTGCCTGGTCCAGATCAGTTATTTACTACTATGACAGCATTCCTAGACAATCTCTCGTGAGAACACTTTGAAATTGGAACACTCGTAGTTTCTAATGGGGATGAGACAAGACAAGACAGTAGCAGCAGTTAGCAGCCCACTCTTCTTTTCCATAACAGATAGTTGCTCTTACTATCGACCACTAGCTGCATGTGCACACATGTGAGCCTACTGACCTAGACACAGTCCCTAGTTTCCCTTCTGCCCTTTCTGTAATGCTGTAGCCCAATATGGAGCAAGATTTGCTAACTTTGACTACTGGATTTCCTGCAAATCTGCTGAATGAACTCTCAATGGATTCCTCTGTGTTTCAGGTTAAGTTAAAGTTGGAGTCTCCGCCGCCAGTCATCCTGCCCGACTCCCCCTGTCCCCCGTCCCCCATGGACCACCAGTATGAGAGTCTGCTGGAGCTGGTGTCGGGGGACCAGCTGACGGTGCAGGGCGGTGACCCCATGGGGGTGTTCTACATGTCCATGGAAGGAGTAACATCCGACGATGTCTTCGATCAGGTATGTCAAACTGATCTCAAGAAGCATTGATCTCCATGCAAAATGTGTTATCATGCAGTGTTATCAATCTGTCAAAACAATCCAATAAACTTAGTATCATGATCTGATAAAAATGCAAGATCACCTTGTATGTCTGGGCATATCAGAAGCGTACAACAGTTTTATCATTGTAACGGAACCCAGATATCCTAGACATCTAACACAAAAAGCTAACCCCAAAGTATTGACTCAACTTTTCACACTTGTAGCAGGTACAAGCATTAAAAAGAAGAAAACACTTACCGGTACATGCCCTTATTTAATTATTTCAAACTGTAAGCACTTGTTTTTGGTGTGGTGTCATGACTCTTCCACTGTTTGAAATCTGTGACAACAGTTTCCCCTTTCTCTGACTCCAGGAGGATCTGGTGTACAGCTACCCCTGGGGCGGCGTGGTGACTGGCATCAGGGGCATGTTCTACACTCTCTCACACCTACTCAGGGACTTCGTTGTCTCCAATGTTACAAAGTAAGTCTTTCTTCTGCTCACAGATTGACATCCTGACTATATTTTCCTTGTTGAGAACCCTGCTGCAATAAGCAGATAGACTTCTTGGCCAGTCTGTGTAAAATGCATATAAGCAGACCTGAAATATAATGGTCCATATATTCTTGTGTGTAGAGCAGCAGAGAATGGGTATATTATTGCATAGTATTATTAGTATTGCATTATTTTTACCAAAATGTTTGTTTTAACAGATGTTTGCATTTACTAATGCTCATCAAGTGCCCCCTTCATCAATTTTGTTGTTACAAAAGTTGACGTTGTTGTGTACAAGTATATACCGTGCTTCGTAACTGCTTCCTCAGCTGAGTTCCAGTTCTTGTCCTCAACTGTGCATAGTTTATATCTTTGTTATCATGATTATTAGTGTTCCTTGCAGGGTCATCCATATCAGAAACACTTCCAGGATGATGACCATCTCAAATCTTTCAAAAGTTATTTGGTTGTTTGGGTCACCTTGGGGTCAAAGCTTTTGCTCGTCAAAAACCTGGGTTCAGCTCCACCTATCTGCAACACATAAAGGCCAATTATAATTCAAATGACTGTTAATAGTTAAGCTGCTGTGTTTGACCCGTGCCACAATGTTCAGTTCCAGCTTCGTTGTAAATGGGGATCTGGTCCACACCGTCTACCACATGGAAGGCAGGGACCTCCTGCTGCTGGCTGTCCCCCACAAATGGTGGGTACCTGGTAGTTTCTCTTTGTTCCTTTTATTTCTGTACTTGTATTTGACACACTGTTCCCTGTCAGCATGATTGAGATGATTGTAAGAAAGTTTGCAATTCTGTATATGATCTGAAGTTCCTTGAGGGCATTGTACATGACTACTCTGTTATTTAGTAGATAGTCTGAAAGGAGACAGAAGGGTAATGGTTTGATTCCTGGTCACTTCATTCAAAAAGATGTTAAAATATTGTACATTTTATCCAGCCCCCACTCTCATTGCTATATAAGTGCTGTAATCTGCTATAAACAGAATGTTGCCTAATTACCAGATTGTATTTGGCCTGTGGTCATCAACTCCAATTAGTATCGCCCTTTAAGAATGTTATAAGCTGTCTGTAATTAGTTGTATGTTCTCCCTACTTTGTAGGTGCTCTATCCCAGTGCTGAAACTCATCCTTGCTGACATTGTGCGTCTGCTGCGCTTCCTAGTCGGATCAGTCGAAGATGCTCTCCGTCGGACCAAACATCGGCGTTTGGTGGATGAGATCTTCTCACTCCTCTTCAAGTCATTATCAGGGGAGACAAGAAGTGGCCCAGTCAATCAAATCCATAATCATCCCTCATTGGTCAAAGCAGCTGTCAATCAGAATCTAAGTCTTCCCCCATTGGTCGGAACATTTTCTCATTCTGGTCATGTGCAATATCTACCTCTGTCTGACGAGATAATGGTGAGTAGATCAGTGAGAGTGTTTTATGTCATCAGTTTCTCAGCTATAACACAGCACTGAGCTTGGAGCAAACAAACCAGTGGTTGATATTGGGAGCATCAGTCCATAAACATTCATCTGAGATGTGGATGCAAATTTGGTGATCCTATAGCTTTGCACACTTTTAGTTTCATTAAAAAGTAAATTTTCTAAAGGAAATACCAACACTTGTATCATCAAACTAATATAGCAATATACTGTAGAGTTAACCTTGATTGCATGATTCAACACAGTCACTATATATATGTCAACAGCTCTTCAGATAATTCCTCACAAATTCCCACCACCTCCATACCTGTCTGACAATTTATGTTGTCTTTGCAGGAACACACCAGTGGAGTACTGACTGATTTTGAAGCTTCTGATTTTGTTGATATGGTGAGTACTGAATGGAGGTGACCGTTTCAGTTAAACTCTAAGAGAACCAAGAACAGTTTTATATTGTGTGTATTGTGATAGCTCTTCATTTAACAGCTGACAGTTAAATATTGTTTGACATGGTGCCCAGTGATCATCACTTTTACAGATTTGTATGTATGTCGGGGTGGGGTAGCCTAGTGGTTAAAGCGTTGGCTCGTCACTCCGAAGACCCGGGTTCGATTCCCCACATGGGCACAATGTGTGAAGCCCATTTCTGGTGTCCCCAGCCGTGATATTGCTGGAATATTGCTTAAAGTGGCGTAAAACTAAACTCAGTCAGTATGTATGTCTTAAATATTGATCAATTAACATTCAAATGAAATGCTATGTGTATGAACACAGAAATAATTTAACATGTCCATTCCACTTGTTTCAGTCGGACAACTTCTACGGGTGTCGGAGGTCTTACACTGTTCTTGGCTCAGGCTTGTTCTACAAGGTAGAGTGTCACTACTAGAAATGTGTTTATATCTGTAAAATCTTTCATCTGTGTCTGATTTCTATATCAATAATTTGATTAGCTAACCCAAAATCCACAGACTAGCTGACAGCTGTTTCCTTGTTGTGTGATTATAGAGTGGACAGGGCTTGTGTTGAAGTATTCCGCTGAATTAGGTCACTGATTTAATATCATTGTCTGCAATATTTTGTGTTTAGTGAATAAATAAGCAATCTGTGAAGTTGGAATAGCATATACACAGTTTGTCAATCAATTTTTAATATTTACATCTCATTAACACAAGAAATATATGATACATCAGGTGTTAAAGTTCAGAAGTGTGTCTGCCAGGGCAGAAATAACACCATCACTAGACAGCATCATGCTTGAATTTTTAAATTGAATTTTTCAAAATTACTTTCAGCTTATTTGCATCCTTTCATCTTCAAACATCAATTATTCTTTAGTTACTGTAAAAATTGATTGAATATATAATTCACACATAAAAATTTAAAAAGAGTCAATAATAAACAAACATTTTAATTTTTTTGTAATTGTATTCAACTTCACAAAATGAATAGCTGGCTCAGGTAGAAAACAAACTGGAAATGTCTGTCTCTATGACAGCCTACCGGCTCGGGTGACACTGCTACAAAGAGGTGTACATCAGACAGTATTACCCTCGAGAGAAGCATACAACTTATAGTATACAGTATTTTGCAGGTTCTAATCTGGCTTTAATTCTTCCTTTGAATCATTGAATCCCAGACCCCATCTGTTTAAATGAAACATTCTTCTAGTTTACACTTCCTGAAACTCCATGCTTGTTTATTCCAGGGCCACATGTTGTGTAGCCACCTGTCGCGGGACGACCTGGTCGACATCCATCTCTACCTGTCACACCACATGCTGCTCACACTCACAGCCAATCAGAAAGTCAGCCAGCTGGTCATCTGGCGAGAGATCTTCCCGACTCGCTTCTGTTACGATGTCAGTGAAATAAACAACACCTTTGGGTACTCCGAGCCTCATGCAAGGTGGTTCCTGATGGTTGTGGGTTTGGTGAGTTCATTAAACTGTGAAATTTGGTTTCTAGCTTTCTGTAATTTACATTTGTGATATCAGTTATCCAAACTAAAGCTATGAAGTTGTATTTGTTTTTCCGAATAATTATACATTTGGATACTGTCATCAGTAATTAGGGAGCATTCGTTACAATGTCTGAAGCCCAATAGTTTTGGCCCCAACTACATTTTCAACAATATCTACAACAAATACAATAACTTTATCTCTGTTGTTTTTCAGAAACATGGACTTCTAGCGGTACTGCTCGAGGCTGGTGGCTGTGCAACTCAGTAAGTTTTCAACAGATTTCATGTATCAATAAGTGTAATTTGTTCAAGTGTTCAGTTTATCATCCCAAAAGTAATCAACTGAATTAGCAGCATGGTAGAAGCTAGTACACATATTTACAACACTAAATTACAAATACTGTGGCAAGAGGAGGCCTTGGTGGGGTATTTTATGGGTGCTTCTGTCACTTCCTTTTCTCAACACTTTGTGTATTTAACAGGCAACAAGGCAGGCCAAGTCCAGAGCCATTCTACATCGACCAGGCTCGCTGCACATTAATGCAGATTCAGACACCGGAGCTGATTGGTCACTGTGAGGCCAGGTAAGTCACATGACCAAAATATACAAGATATGGCATGATAATCTTTCTGATCCTCAATATTACATCTGCTTTAGAATTTATTTCACCTAATTTTCTGTTTTGATAGTCATACCATGCTCAGTGCATAGGTCACAAAATAGTTTTAGGCAATTTCGTTCAGCCAAAACCTTCTTAAGATATTTTGGATTGGAATAAATCTGACAGTATGTGTTATGTTCAAGGAGGATTAGTTATGCACTGATGAATAGTGAAATAAGGTGCACACCAGTTTTTTGTACTAGTTTAAAAAAAAAATAAATCTGAGGGCTATTTAAAGAAATATTTTTGTTAACAGATTATCTGGCAGTGGCCTGCCTCCCACCGTCAGTATAGACTCCTTCCTGTCCAGTACTCCTGCCGATCTCACCACCACAGGTTGGTACTGCAAACATTTACACACTGGTACTGCAAACATTTACACATGGATTGTAGATTACGTTGATAAAGTGGGTAATCAACCACCACTCCTGCCGACCAGGTTGGACACTGTATTGTAGATTACGTTGATAAAGTGGGTCAACTTTCAACATGATATTCACAAGTGGTAATCAGCACTTGGAGTGGCTTCTTGTATAATACCCATAGTTCTTTGTGTAAGAAAATGAGAAAGATATGTGACTGCAAATAGCATAAAAGAAATAATGTCTGTGAATGTTAGTATCTCATTACATTAAGTTTTCTTTGACTTAGAAACAAAGAATTAATAGTGCTCAGGGCAGATAGTCCTTGGTTGGTCCATACAATCTAAAGAGTGGACCAGTAGAGACACAATATCATTTCTAAGCTGACATGGGATATAAACTTGGACATGTGGTAGTACTATCGTAACACCAGTACTAGTATTGGAGTGTGGTTGGAGAAGAATGTGCTAACCATGACCTTGTGTTTTCAAGGCTATGTCCACGATGACTTCAACCCAAGAGGTCAAGGTCAATCTGTGTCCAGCCGATACTTCAACCACAGACAGAGGAAGTCGTCAATAGAGTCAGATGGTTCTGGTGGAAGCGGCAGCAGTGATGGCATATTCAGAGTATGTCCGTCATGACTCATAACATGATTTTATCCCAGAGTACAGTAGACAGAAATGATAATCAGAAAGCTGTTCAGATAAGAGATGCTCTTCCAGTCTACAACAAAGTAGCTGTGACTATCAAAACCTTAGCTAAAAATCTACAACTGCTCTAACAAGAATGTTTTTTTTCAGAGTCAGAGACGACAACGTATGTTCCCTTTGGCAGGGGAGACAACTCGGCCCAGCAACATAACTGACGGGTTGAGTCCAAAGTAAGTTCAGTTCCTCTGTGTTTGTCCTTCCATGTCTGTGTGCTTTGTGAACATTTATCATCATTGAATACACAATGACTTTTAGAAAGTATTAACATATGTTATATATTTGGGAGTACACATTCTCAATGATGTACAGATTCTAGTACTTCTTATGGGGTGAGTGCTGTCCAGGATTCGAACCCACACTTTCACAACGAGGCACCTAAGCCCAAGCACAGTCTGTTATCTAACCCACTCAGTGGAAACCAAAGTTGCTAAATAAGTTTGAAAACTGACTGTTCATAATCATTCACACAGGACCCGGGAAGATCCGGGTTAGAATACATCTTCAGTAACCCATGCTTGTCGTAAGAGGTGATCGGGTGGTCAGGCTCACTGGTTTGGTTGACACATGTCATCGGTTCCCAGTTGCGTAGATCAGTGCTCATGCTGTTGATCACTGGATTGTCTGGTTCAGCCATATAGCTGGAATAATGCTAGGAGTGCAGCATAAAACTAAATTCACTCTCTCATTCATACAGAAATAAAAACACCTCCATATGTTGATTGGAAATGAATTCTAAGACTGTCTTCTCTCTCTACAGGGTGACGGACGGGATGGATAACTGCCTGTTCCACTACTGCAGTATGGATACCCTGGAGGGGCTGTACATCACCTCCCCACTCCCCGACATGGCTGCGCCCCTCCACTCACAGCTCATTCAGAACTTCTACCGCTGCTGTGCACAGATTCAGACCATGTTCCGCAGTGCCATTACGTACAGGGTAAGTCAAACCTCCATCATCATCATCATCATCATCATCATCAGACCACTCGTGAAGGTCCGGATTGGAATATTGATCTTCAGTAACCCATGCTTGTCGTAAGAGGCGACTAATGGGATCGGGTGGTCAGGCTCACTGACTTGATTGACGCATGTCATCGGTTCCAAATTGTGCAGATCGATGCTCATGCTGTTGATCACTGGACTGTCTGGTCCAGACACGATTATTTACAGACTGCCGCCATATAGCTGGAATATTGCTTTTGGAGTAAAACTAAACTCACTCATCATCAGACCAGTATCATCATCTCATAATCACCATAATGACACCACCATCAATATATTTGTTGGCATGAGGCACCATTCTCACTATCATCATCATCGTCAACATATCATAAGTGTTCCCAGTCAAATGGCGGAAGTATTCAGCTTTAATGAGCATAAATTCCAACTGACTGATATATTATTTCAGGCCCTTGTGAACCAGGAGGAGGAGCCTGTGTTGTACCCGGACCGAAACCTGGTCAGCATCCGTGAGCAGGGGGTGCTGTTCCACTGTCCCACCCAGCCAGGGTCTGACTCTCGCCGAACCAAACAATCCCTTGCGTACTGGGTCGTGGGGTAAGTTTGTCATAAGAAACATGAGCCATGTTCCTCAATTTTGGACTACATGTTATATCCTAGACCAATCTTTCATACCCTCATGATAGCTACTTCTACTATCCTCCACTGGTTTGTTTGATTCAGATTTCATTGTTTACAAGCAGTTAATGGTGTCAACATTCACTTTCCTGCTAATATCAGATGAACTCAATAATGACCGTCCAGGGATTCCTGGGCATCTCTGTCCTGGACATACAAGGCTGTTTAATAGATCAGGTGGTCAGGCATTGTGATAACGTGTCTCCATATAACAGAAGAGATTGTCTAATCCAGACTTGATTATTACACAACACCACATACAGCTGGAGTTCTGCTGACTGCAGCAGTATCTAACAACAAGAAATTGTCCTCCTCCCACAATTCCAGTTTGACTTGTTTGTGTGTTGCAGACGGAAGTACAGCCGCCCGGTGAAGCAGGAAGTGTATGTATGCTTCCATGAGTCGACGCCACAGAACATCGTGGAGATGGCCTTCAGGTTAAGTTTCGGGCTCCTGTCTCCCGGGTGATGGCAGTGTCGATACACTCCACTCCTTCATCTCCTGCCCAGGATGCCAGGGTGACGTCTGCCCTTAGATTCACCTCGTCCAATCTTTGGGAGCCCAGTCAGTAGGCACCATTTACTGAAGATCATGATGTCACAAAGATCATTGAAGATCGTAATAATCAGAACGCCATGTGGTACTGAAGATAAGATCTGCTGAACATCAGGATGCATTGAAGATCAAAAATGACAGAAGGTCATGACCAAGACAACATAAGATTGTGAACCTCTGCCCAGAATTCATGTACTGAAGATCTCAAGGGATTAATGATCACAGGTTGCAGATGATCAAGACATGCTGAAGACCAGAGATAACAACATATGACAATTTACAATTCAAATCATCATAAATTGTGACCTTGTATTGTTTGTGGTTTGTGGTTCACAGGTCTGATCAAGTGCCTGGCAGCAGATCTGAAGATGTCCTGGTGCATCAAGTCAGGGTTGACATGGTTTTGTGCACCTGATGAAGGGCCTGCCCGGGAATGCAACCTTGATGCAAGGGTTTCATGGTCATGTGATTGATTCTACGAAAGCATCCATTAAGAAGCCAAGATAGAAGGGTCAGTACCTACAGGTACCTCTACTGTGTGCCCATGATCTCAACAATAGTAATATGTGTCATGGTTACAGTTGGCCCTGATAGTTCCCGATAGAACAAGACTGTACAGTGCTGCCCCTAGGCCAGTTGTGCATCAGCTGTGTACATCCCTCTCTGCAAGAGGTCAGAGGATGAACACTGAACCACTGTGAACCATGGAGTAAGATGTCTATATTAATAAAGACATGGTTGCTATGGTCACAGTGTGTCAGTAATGACTGTTTCCTAACCTGAAAGATATTAAAACTTGAAGCATACAGTGAACCTGGATGCTATCTCGCCGTCCATGTGTCTGCATTCTGTAAGAGAACTAGAACAGTTCACGCAGTTATGTGTCACACCATCAAGGTCTATGCGACCTTGACCCACTCTTTTCAAGGTCATCTGGATCCATCACCTTCATCTCTTCATCAACTGATAAAGGACCGTCCAACCAAGGTTCAGGGACTGTTGCTCACCTAACATCCAAACTGCATGGTCTATGGACAAGTTCCTAGAGTCCTAAGTATTCTATACTGTGTGCTTGTGGTATCCCAAAGAGAAATTCTGAAGTTGCATGAAAAAGACATGTCCTTTTATACCTCAGTGACTACAAAGTATATGATATTTACCTGTTACCTGGTCACAAACCTGCCAGAACATTTACCTCAAGTGTCTTTTGAACATGTGTCTGTGATAACAGAAATAATATTTTATTTGTGAAGTGAAGAGAGTAACAAGATATTCCACATGGAGGAAATTCCGAGCTCTGTTGTTTCAAATGAAAAATAAATAAGTGACATGCTTTAAAGGCTTCCTTTACACTCCAAATATTGTAAGGATAAGCCAGAAAAACAACTGATTTGCCTATCATTTGAACAATGAACTTAGCATTTCCATATAAGCATAAGTGCTAATTTCGAATTCACTGTTCCATGTTTTTATCAACATGATTGAAGGTCTGTTGACAAGATTGAAGCAAATATATTTTAAAAAATCTTGCTTCATTATGTAAAATACCTCATTCCATACCTGGTCAAATCCATGATATTATATTTATATAAAGCGAAATGGATGCAATTAGTTTATGTATTTTAGTCAGTATTGTTAATTTTATTTTTCCTGTTCAAAATAGATACTATATACATTATTGTAAAACAATGCCAAACATAAGAGGTCTTATCCTTGCTTATCGATACTGCCTGAAGTCAATGTTTCAGATTCAACATATTTAACATGTTAACATGATTAACTATACAATGAGCAATCCAAAGTTTTGACAGCTAACTTATATGTTGGAGAGATTGAGTTTCCAATATTATCAAAAATCATAATTGTTACTGTACTCTACCTCTACTGTCTGCATGAAGGTCGGAGGACTCCTCCTTAGGAAGACATGTTTATAGAAAATCAGCACCATGGGTACAACATTTGAGTGAGAGATGAATTCAGAGAAGCATTTCTGAATTCTTTGTATAAAACTGGAATGTACTTGGGGGTTTTCAATGCAAAACAATAAAGCTGCTCTATATCTTATACAACCCTGTCACTGGTGGAGATACTGCCAGTGTGTTGAAATGTTTAAACTTTTCTGTCGGTGCTCTCAGATCTTCACACAGAGAGGTGTCTGATTTAAATGAGATTGTTGCCTTCCTGTCATCAGTTTTTATTAGTATGTTTATTCACAAAGAAGTTTTCACAGGATCTAATTAAGAATAAAGTGTAATGGGTAAAAAATAGAACACTCCACTCCATGAAGTCTTATTATCTGGTGACTTAATACTTTCAATACTGTATATATTCAATTTCATATACATGTTGTTGAATGTAGTTCTGATGTAAGTGATCAAATCAAATGTAATGGAGGAATTCAGGGATGTTTTCGTTTAATGAGCCAAATAATGTGTTTGTTTGAATGTCAGATGTAATTGAGAAGTGTTGCTAAGACACTGGTGCTTGTAAATCCCTGTGTTTTGCTGTGATTGCATTAAATGTGCTGAGTTAGGGCCTGGGAGGAAGCTGGGAGTATCATAAGAACTGCCATACCATTCAACTAAGAATCTGATGGTATTAAGAACCCAGCTGTCTAGGATTCTAGTAGGGAGACAGTGAGTGAGGGTGAGAGTGAGTGAGGGTGGCAAGAAGGGAGATAAGAGGTCTGAATGAGTAAGTGATGGAGTGAGTGAGGTGAGGGTGGCAGGAAGGGAGATAAGAGGTCTGAATGAGTAAGTGATGGAGTGAGTGAGGTGAGGGTGGCAGGAGGGGCAAGAAGGGAGATAAGAGGTCTGAATGAGTAAGTGATGGAGTGAAGGAGGATGGGAATGAGTGAGTGAGCGAAGTGTTATGCTACTTTATCTAATATTCCCCAAATGGACTTCATACCTTGTCCCCATGGAGAGAACTAAGACTGATGTCAGCTAGGTTGTAGGCATATCCTTCAGTCACGGACACCAAAGCCAACTGTGTTGATGGTTGTTAGCAGTCAGCTAGTTTGTCAGGATAAACACTAAACTACAGTGAGCATCCCGGTCCTGCCACTGCTCTTCATGTATTGTATTTCGGTGAATCCTTCTCTTAGTTTCGTGTCCGTAAATATTTCAGTAGACACGAAGGATGAACATGAAAGCAGAATCTTCAACCCAAAATACCACAGCCAAAATCTACCAGAGCCTGTTACCCATTTTCTGGCACTGGTTCATGTTTCACAGATTGTGACCAAGCATTCTTGAACAGATGTTACATTGCAAAAAAGTTGTGCTGATACATGTACATCACAGCCAATTTGAAAAATGGGGGACATAGCAATCAGCACGTGTCCATCTTAGGACTCATCTGTCCATTCCCATAGCAGAGCTCATAAACCATTGAATATTTCTAGTTAAAATGTGCTATACAGAGCAGTGAACTGATGCGTTTCGATGATTTGGGTTCTTTAATTCATAATTTATTTATTGTTTTCATGACAAGTATTCGTAACTGAAAATGTCTGTTTTGCATATCCCCCAATCAGTCAAGTGGTAAACCAGTGTTTATAAATCAGAATATTTAAAAATACTGAATGCTGATATCAATTTTTCAGTGAAGTGAAGGTAGCCAATGTCAGAGAACCAATAGTGTGGTATGAGGAGCCAAACTCCATCTCAGTATTACAGCCTAGACAGACGTAGCGTTTCCTGATGAGTTCTTTTCAGTAATACATTGTATAACTGATTGAGGATTTATAGTAAGAGAAATATTTCCATTTTTTAGCCTTTTTACACTACATAATTGTTGGAGTGTCAACATACGACAACATTAAAAAAGTCCAGCATTATTTTAACTACATATGTTGGGAGTTGACCACAGAGCCAGTTGTCCATGTCTACCAGCTGAAGTCCAGAGGGATATTATGAGCAATACACTCTGGGGGGGAGGGGTTTTGTCATTGGTGCAATGTGATACTAAGTATCAAACTTGTTATTTGTTGTTTTCTAATAAAACTATTTAAATACTAGACCTGGAGTTAAGTTATTATTCATGATATTGCTTATTCCAAGAATTGAGTAATAGACTATGTTGTATCACTAGGAGTCCTCTAGACACCCACAGTATGGGTTAGTTGGCTGCATGCTGTTTTATGCCAGTCTGCAGTATACCTGCTACATCACTGCTAGTTAGTCAGAACAGACAATCCAGTGATTGACGTGAGTGGCATCCCATTCAGCCAGGGTACAGTGACAAGCAATCAACCAGACCGACGAGTGAGTGAGTGAGTTAATATTTATCGTCACATCGGCAATATTTCAGCCATACCTTGACGAGAACAATCAATTATCATAGTAAACATCAATAAATTTAGAAATTAAAAACCTATTGACGATGAACAGAAAGAATACTAGAGTATCAGTGAAAGGCTAAAGTAGCATGTAATCATAAAATGACATTATTATAGAGAACATTACAATATAAAAACAGGCTGTGGATCACCAGCAACTGAGACCCAACAAGTGAATTTAAGACTAGAAAAGATCTGTTCTGGCCCAGGGTGCCATTGTTCAAAACAACCTTAGCCCTAAGACTACCTTAAGTCTGTGTTAAGGTATGGGGTTTACAGCCGCCTTAGCGCTAAGATCGCTTCGTACAACGTACTCCTGTCTAGCTATTCTCGAAAAACGTTCGTAGCCCTAAGAATTCTTAACTTTGATCGTAGCCAATGTGTTATGAATGGGCATAAGAAGTTAGTAGGACAACGAACGTTTGGAGAATAGCTAGCCAGGTCTTCACTGTGGGGATTTCAGGTTAAGATTGGTCTCTATCAGCCTACGCTTGTCATGTGATGTGAATAAAAGGAATTGAAAGTCTCATATCTTGGCTGATTGCATGGTTGATACCTTTTATCTACCCACTGGTGTAGATTGTCTGGACCAGATGCAGTTATATTTAGATTATTCCACAAATAACAAGAAACACACCCATACATAAAGATATCATGAATTTATGTGTTCTGTGTTTCTACTGTGGCAAGAGTGTGGCGGGCATCATGGATCTCACTGTAGCAATGTTGCTGCACAGTAAATCTCTGGTCTACCATCTTGCAGTACAAGGTGTCCCATATTTCCTTTCAATAATATCTTCATAAGAGCAATTTTGAACCTGGGCTCTGCCATGCAGGGTTTTCAGTGTAAAACAAGTCCCGAATAACCTATGCTGGCCTGGGTCATTGGATTGCATGGACCTGGTGATCACAGTCATTAGTCTTCCTTGGTCTTCCAAGTCTTGGACGACTGCAATCATGAAAAACAGGTATGGTACTAACAAACCAAGGAACATAATTGAGACCAACAGTGATTTGGACCCACAATCATTGGTTTCTGGTGCATCCAAGGGACACAACTCTGCAGAGCACCACTGATGACTGGGACACCTTCACTTCCTGTGCCATGTGCCAGAATAGGGATCGTTACAGTATATATTGGACAAGTAAACAAAAAGTGAAAACTATCCTCATTTGCTAGTCCACATGAGGCACATGACTTTCTAAAATGTATCTTTCATATTTGTGAGCATTGAGGTCACTGCAGCCCGAGTACATGGTGGGAATGAGCGATTTGAGCAAAAGCGGCTTCCATAGTTGAGATTGAAACATATACCAGGTGGATTAATAGTCCTCAGTCGTCTTTTAAAACTGGACAGGGACTCTAATTGAGTAAGATGTTGGGGTAAAGTTGTTCCATAGTTTAATAGTGCTCGGGTAAAACGAGTTTTTGTAATTACTTGTTCTGCAATTAATAGTTTGAATGTTATTCACGATTTCTTAAGTTGTATTGGTTTGAATCAGATACACAAGGAGGAACAAGACTGATTAGATAGCCAGGCGTTAAGTTATTTACCATTTTGTAGAAAAAATTATTTTATTATTATTTCTTCTCATCCTTAAAAGGCTGGATATTTGCCAGAATGTCAGTAGTTATGTAAACTGGTGCTGCAGGTGTTGGCGACACACAAGCACCACTGCACATAGACACAGACATAACCCATAGGAGTAATACTTTTATTTACATGCTGTACAAAACAAAAGTAAAGATATACAACTACATTGTAAAATGTACAAACTGAATAGCAGTAACTTCAGTATCAGTCACAAATCATTAAGTAGAACATGTTAAATAAATGGAATGTATGTGTGATATTGGACACTGGAGTAGTTCACACAGTACTTCATAATGCTTCATGTTGTCCATGCTACCAGCCGATCCCGGCCGCGCCATGCGCACATATGCTTAACGCTCGGAGTCAATATAATGTGTCAGTAGGGTATTCACGCTGAGGCAGTATTGTTTACATTATATCTCTTAGCATCCGCATACACTTTCGAAAGCCCAAAGTTGTACAGGTTCTTAGATGTTTACCATATTTGTTAGAAATGGTGCTGACAAACCCAGAAGCATCATCAGAGCAAATCGGGGCTTTGACCACATGATCATAGGTATCTGGTACCTAAAGGGAGACAACTCCGCAGCTAAATGCAGTGCCTTCAACTACTGAGCCATCTGACCTGTTTAAATATACTCTTCATAAAAAGAAACTTGACATAGGACAAATTTGAATTTTAGGAAAATATTTGACACAAACCAATCCATCCTGAATCCCAGCATGTGGAGGAATGGTTGCCAACGACAAAACATTTGAAAATAGAACCTAACAAAAACGTATAGTTACACTCATGTCTGTAGTGAATCGCTAAAATGCACCCTACATGAGTGAGTGAGTTTAGTTTTATGCCGCACTCAGCAATATTCCAGCTATATGGCGGGTCTGTAAATAATCGAGTCTGGACCAGACAATCCAGTGATCAACAGCATGAGCATCGATATGCGCAATAGGGAACCGATGACATGTGTCAACCAAGTCAGTGAGCCTGACCACCCGATCCCGTTAGTCACCTCTTACGACAAGCATGGGTTACTGAAGGTTCATTCTAACCCGGACCTTTACGCCCTACATGAAATGCATGAGCATCATGAAATTGTGTATCACTCTGAGCTGAAACCTATGACTGTAGGCTTTGAAAAGCCACATCAATGGTACTCCACATGCATTGCTTTGAGCCACTACAGACGACAAGAGAATAAAAAGACTGACAGACCATCTCATACCTATGGACCCGATACAAAAATACTGGGAGTGTTAATGACAGACCCAGGTCAGGTCGACCTGGAGTTACCACCGCCGCCCAGGATCGCTACATCCGGTTGAGACATGACAATGCTCGACCTCACGTTGCACATGTTTGACAGGTCTTCCTCCAGCAATGTTCAGTTGTTACCTTGGCCTTCTCAATCACCGGATTTGTCGCCCATTGAACATCAATGGGATACTCTTAATCGACGACTTGCGCCAGCGTAATCCGCCACCTCAGACACTACAAGATCTGCACACAGCACTTCAGCAAGTGTATCAAAACATTCCTCAAGACAGCATTCGGCATCTCCTTTCTTCTATGGGTCACCGCTGCCAAGCTGTTATCGATGCTCATGGTGGTCACACCAGATACTGACATTTTACTCTGACCAAGTGGCTTTAATAGCCCTCTGTGGTTTTACCAAACACTTTCTGGATAATCATGTTTTGGAAATTTGTAAAGAGATGATTTTACTGTAACTGAGCAATGATGTCATGTTTGAATCAGTTATATGCACTCAGTAAGTAAACTCCAAAACAGCATGTCAAGTTTCTTTTTCTTGAAGAGTATATAAGTTTTATAATCAGTGATCTGCAAAATCATATATTAAAAATTATCATAATACAGGACTCTAAAATGTTGTGATATGAAATAAAGTCACAGCACAGCAGGCACTAAATGTATCTGGGACCACTTCCCAAAAGTGGGTTGAGCTCTACAGCTGTCAGCAGTCTGTTGAAGTATGGGAGTTTATAAAGTCACAGCACAGCTAGCACTTTATGAACCTGGGACCACCTGCATGAAGGTGATTTAGCTCTAGAACTAGTATAGGAGATAAGATTGTACTTTCAGTAACATCACTGTCTGTGGTGAAGGGCTAGCTACTATTATGTTCACTCTCTAAACAGCTGCCTTCCGTTACATGCATATAAATTACTAAAGTGTATCACAGATTCAGACAAAATATATAATATTTTTTGACTAGTGACACAAAGCATATATCATCCGTGGCAAAGAAAACCTTTGGGACTAGACAAGTCAGACACAATGACTGCTGGACTAGACAAGTCAGACACAATGACTGCTGGACTAGACAAGTCAGACACAATGACTGCTGGACTAGACAAGTCAGACACAATGGCTGCTTAGTGAGCAGATCCAGTACATTTAAGGGAATTATCACTGCTCACCTCGACATGAATCCTGTCCTAAAACATGCATTAACATACATCATTTTCTCAATAGCGCTACTCTCTGTGTGGAGACCTGGCAAACTATTGTCAGGTGAACACTGAACAAAGTCCCCACCCGATTTAGATGAAGAAAGCAGTTTTGTTCTTGAGCAAAACATTTGTGTCAGATTGTTTTCATTTACTTATAGACACCTCATTTTATAAATCAACAAGAAAACAAATGTTCCCTCGATAACAAACCCTTTTAGTCGAGACTGAATATATCCACAACATAGATAGAACAACTTTCATCCTCTATATTCACACCTGTCCCTTTTTCAAGATACAGGTGTTGATGGTTCGATCACTTCAATCAATGTTGAGGCCTTGATATTGATCAGCTGATAAGGAATTCACCTGACATGACTTCTAACAGTTTGTCAGCTCTACCCAAACAGGGGAATTATATCAGATTTGTTTGCTGATGGTAAAGAAGGGTTTGTCATCCTCATCAACATAAAGAGTTCAACAAGTAATAAGAAAATACAGATATGAAATGTGACATGTTAACATGATGAGACAGATGATGCAATCAACCCTGATGCAATATACAACATAATGTGAGATATCATACATTTATACAATAGACTCTGTAACCATGGCAACAGCACATCAATATATGAAGTGGTCCCTGATAATGTGAGATCTGGTATTGACAATTATAATAGATTAACGATCTTGTTTCCTTATACATCAGAAATGGTCTCAAGCAACTTATGCTGATGGTAGGAGGTGAGCAAATGATTCACTGTTCACGATCTGTCACTTGGTGTATTGTATGTCATCATGACCCCTGGCATGGAGTGTTGCTCACGCTCTCAACCACATGTCTGCCTGGCGCAGACTCTACCACTTACATCCTCCAGCATAAAGTTGGAATATGAAGCATTAAACAACTAATAAATCCTAATAAAAACATTCCAAGCCAAAATTTTCAGTCACCTATCCATTTTTCTCCAGCTACTCATTTTCAAGATGATTTTTATTGGAGATGAATCTTGTGTTGTCACATTTCCTGCGGAGGGCAACATTGTGTGAGTCAGGATTTCTGTTTGATCACATGTCAGAGCAAGATGTAAGCTAAACTTACATGACCAAGGATAACTTTGGATTTGCAGATCCAGGTATGGTAAAGGGACACAACTCTTGTCATCTAGATGCAGCACCTTCCACAACATGGCCACTCCAAGCACCTAGCATCTTACTGAAAATGTGCGCCAGTTCATCCTTCTGTGCAAATAATCCCTTGTAAAAATGATGGTGATACTGTGTCCAACCCACGATCATGCACACTGTTTTTCTCAATTGTGAGAACATATATAAATATAATAGATGTGCAAATATCTATTAAAGAAGTGCAACCCACACTGATCATCACACCATGTTCTGTGACTGATGATTGAAATGCTCAAAGACGGCATCTGTTAAGCAGGGCGACATCACTCGGACATCGAACCATGTTCTGTGAACTGAATAAATGAAATGCTGTTGCAATGTTAAAGACGGCAAAGTGCATCACTGACATGATCACACCATCTGATGATGATAAAGAAATGCGATGTTAATCTGTTAAGCAGGACGACATCACTGACATCTCAGATCACACCATGTTCTGTGAACTGATGATAAATGAAATGCTGTTGCAGGTGATGTAAAAGAAGTCTTTCCTGTACGTCAAAGAAATTGTTCTGTAATTATCCAATATCACGTGGTTCAAGGATATCCTTCATGAATATTCATGACAGTAAATGCTACAAGCGATTGGTGGAGAACTTGTTTGTTGGCAGCTGGTTGAGAACTCCAACCAATCGGGATGAGTGGAAGGTTGGTAACACATTCAGATTGTTGGGGTGTCTGAGCTGGTTCCGAGATGAGGCACCCTCCTCGAAGTCTTCTGGGTTTATATTGGGAGCAATGTATGGTTTATTTTCATACTTATCTTGAGCTAGTTTCTTGAGCCGATGCATCTCAAACATGCCAAGTTCATCTGTAAATCTGAAGAACCTGCTGTTTCTATTTTGTAGAAGAATATGAGGAGATTCCACTTCCTGTATTTTACCTTCAGAAATCACCTGGGGAAATAAAACAACACTTGAAACAGCAATAAAATCAGTAACTGATTTCACACACTGATATGTTGTTACACATGCTATGCACTGCATACAGCTATATCTGTACTTGTGTGATTGGATCAGACAGGTGAGCTATATATGTCAGACAGGTGAGCTATATGTGTCAGACAGGTGAGCTATATGTATCCAACTGGGGATCTATGTCCATCAGGCAGGTAAGCTTTATGTACCACACAGGTTAGCTATATGTATCAGACAGGTTAGCTATATGTATCAGACAGGTGAGCAATATGTATCAGACAGGTGAGCAATATGTATCAGACAGGTGAGCAATATGTATCAGACAGGTGAGCTATATGTATCAGACAGGTGAGCTATATGTATCAGATGGGTGAGATGTATGCTTATATGTATCAGACAGGGTGAGCTATATGTATCAGACAGGTGAGCTATATGTATCAGACAGGTGAGCTATATGTATCAGACAGGTGAGCTAAATGTATCAGACAGGTGAGCAATATGTATCAGATGGGTGAGCTATATGTATCAGACAGGTGAGCTATATGTATCAGACAGGTGAGCTATATGTATCAGATGGGTGAGCTATATGTATCAGACAGGTGAGCTATATGTATCAGACAGGTGAGCTATATGTATCAGACAGGTGAGCTATATGTATCCAACTGGGGATCTATGTCCATCAGGCAGGTAAGCTTTATGTATTAGACAGGTGAGCTATATGTACCACACAGGTGTGATGTATGCTTCAGCCAGGTTAGCTATATGTATCAGACAGGTGAGCTATATGTATCAGATGGGTGAGCTATATGTATCAGATGGGTGAGCTATATGTATCAGACAGGTGAGCTATATGTATCAGACAGGTGAGCTATATGTATCAGACAGGTGAGCTATATGTATCAGACAGGTGAGCTATATGTATCAGACAGGGTGAGCTATATGTATCAGACAGGTGAGCTATATGTGTCAGACAGGTGAGCTATATGTATCAGACAGGTGAGCTATATGTATCAGACAGGTGAGCTATGTCCATCAGGCAGGTAAGCTTTATGTATTAGACAGGTGAGCTATATGTACCACACAGGTGTGATGTATGCTTCAGACAGGTTAGCTATATGTATGAGACAGGTGAGCCATATGTATCAGACAGGTGAGCTATATGTATCAGATGGGTGAGCTATATGTATCAGAGTGTCATGCAGGTGAGCTATGTGTATCAGGAGGGCTACATGTAGAAAGATACTCACCATAACCCTATCTGTATCTATTACTGTGTCAGGCAGGTGAGCTATGTGTATCAACGTACAATGCTCAAATTTAGTTCTCAGCAGCTTTTGAATAATTGTATTGCACCTGAAATGTGGGAAAAAAATGACAATGAAATATCAGCTGGGCATTCATCATGAAGAAAAGACTGCTACAAATGTTTATTACTCTTCACTGTTTAAATTAATCTTTATTTACCTTCGACCCCACACTATGATTTACTTAATGGTTCATTTGGCAATCAGTTATGACTAGAATCTTTCTGTATTTGTTCCCTACAAATACTGCCACCATAGCGAGAGAAATGGTTCTGGGTCTAACTACAACTGACAGTGTTATTTATCATTTGATTCACTGGATTCAGACAAACAATACTAATTACTAACATAAAAACTGCTCCTCACCTGTAATCAAGGCTTGTTGTAGGTTCCTCATACACAACTATCTTGGACTGGCGTAACATGGCACGAGCCAGTCGCAGTAGTTGTCGATGTCCTGTGGAAAAGCTGTCAATGACTGTGGTGATGTCAGCGTACAATCGCTGAGGCAGCGTCTCTACGAAGGACGACAGATTTACCTGGTGGAAGAGAAGGTAAGTGAGTGTCTTGGTATGACACAGCTCATGACTAGCATAATTATTTTGAATAATTTCAATTAAAAACAAAAATTTATTGTCTACATTGTGGTTATATGAACATTTGCAATGTATACCATTTTTGTATGTTTATACCTCCATTGACGGTAAAGTTGTGTCTGATGACAGTGACCTCTTACCTCCTCGAAGCACCCTCCACACCTGGGCATCTGTGTACCTCGAGATCGGGTCCAGGTTCTGGCGCAGCGTGCCAGTGAACAGAGTAGGGTTCTGGGAAATACAGATATTGCAACAAATGAATTCGATTAAACTATTCATGAAACACTGATAATAATAGTTAATAAACTTGGGCCACTGATAGATTATAACTTGATTATTGAATGTTCAACACCTGTGATCAGGATGTTTCAACATCTACTTTCATCTCCCCTTTCTACTATCCCTTCAGACACCTACTTCACCCCATTAATTCCATGATAAAGTCATCAAATACATTAAAAAAAAGTGTTATCAAGTGATCTGTTATAAGTATTGTCTATACAATGGAATAAAAGATCAAAATAATGAATTGGAAATGGGATGCATGAATAGCCTTCTGAAACTGGACAGACAAAGCTTGTGCTTTCAATTATTGCCTCTACCTGTTGTATAACAGCTATCTTGTCCCGGAGACGCTGCAGGCTGACGTTGACGATGTCTATGCCGTCAATACGGACTATGCCTATGTAGTCATGGAGACGGAATAGAACAGACATGAATGCTTTCTGCTCAGCTGCCGTTTTAAACATTATGCCCATCTGGAAGCAACAAAAACTATGGTATTATTCACTTTTAAGGTTGATTTATGAATTTCAACTTTTCATTGCAAAATTTCACTGTAGGGGCCAGTACCCAGGTGATACAACAGTGATACAACAGCTCTCAATACCACTTGAAACAGCAATATCCCCGCCATCAAGTCTGTACCAGACACACCACTCAATGAAATCATCAGACACCCTATCCCCACACAGGCACTTGAAACAGCAATATCCCCGCCATCAAGTCTATACCAGACACACCACTCCACGAAACCATCAGACACCCTATCCCCACACAGGCACTTGAAACAGCAATATCCCTCGCCATCAAGTCTGGACCAGAGAAACCGCTCCACGAAACCATCAGACACCCTATCCCCACACAGGCACCTGAAACAGCAATATCCCACTGCCATCAAGTCTGGACCAGAGAAACCACTCGCCATCAAGTCTGGACCAGAGAAACTGCTCCACGAAACCATCAGACACCCTATCCCCACACAGGCACTTGAAACAGCAATATCCCTGCCATCAAGTCTGGACCAGAGAAACTGCTCCACGAAACCATCAGACACCCTATCCCCACACAGGCACTTGAAACAGCAATATCCCTGCCATCAAGTCTGTACCAGAGAAACCGCTCCACGAAACCATCAGACACCCTATCCCCACACAGGCACTTGGATTAAAAAATTCAATGACCAGCAACTGTAGCAGAAGCAATGCAATGAATGGATATGGATAACTTTACTAATCAAATTCTTTTCAAAAAGGGTTTCAAATTTATAAGTCAGCTAGTCTGAGACAATATCTTCGAGGAAGGACTAGTCAGCTCTCCATATGGAGGTAGTCCACCTCCTTCGAGGAAGGACTAGTCAGCTCTCCATGTGAAGGTAGTCCACCTCCTTCGAGGAAGGACTAGTAAGCTCTCCATTTGGAGGTAGTCCACCTCCTTCTAGGAAGGATTAGTCAGCTCTCCATGTGGAGGTAGTCCACCTCCTTCGAGGAAGGACTAAAGTACTGTCGGAAATGCTAGAAAAATGCTTTTTAGCCTTAATACTTTGATAAAGGTGATAAATGTACTATGTTGTCAATATATCAACTCGCCTATAGTGTACCTAATTTTTATTTCAATCGATTTAACATTCCCATGCATTTAAAGGGCAGTTTACAGGAGAGAATATGGTACCAAAACAACAACTTAAGATTTTTTCAGAGTTCAACAACAGAAATCTGAAATGGTCTTTACATTTATGCTAATAATACATTGGTGGTAAAAATATGAATCAACGCTTTTTTAACAAATAAATGTTGAATGTTTGTGTTACTTTACTTAATTATCGTTTCTTTATTGAAGAAATATTAATATAAATGTTAAGTATTGATAAAAAAGTTTCCCGTCATGCATGCACATCTTTATCACAGCGTCCACTATGGCCAACTATTTGCAGTCAATTGTTGCAAAGGTTTATAAGTTTTTTGTGCTTGAAAAAGACAGAGGTAAACCTTTCATTAGTTTAGAAAGGGTTTATTACAGAACTTGTAGAGCTGTTGTGCAGTCAATTGTTGCAAAGGTTTATAAGTTTTTTGTGCTTGAAAAAGACAGAGGTAAACCTTTCATTAGTCTAGAAAGGGTTTATTACAGAACTTGTAGAGCTGTTGGTATGTCTTACCAACAAGTTTACAGTATTGTACACAAATCAGACAAGACAGAGACCGTCTCAAAAGCAAAACCGGGACGTAAAACCATCCTTGACAACTTTGACAAAGGAGTACTTAGACGGGCGGTCTACAAACTTTATGAGAAGAAGAATACATATATTGTAAAGAAGCTACACCAGTGACTTCGTCAAATCTTTGGCCAATGTTCACAACTAGAATAAATTGACCGAATTACATCCATATTTTTGCAATGAAATATACTGTTGACATGCAAAACATTTATTAAAACGTTGCACATTTCTACAATCAATCGATAAGATAACACAAGTGATAGGAATCTGTCCAATGTACAGTAATTCGTATGTTTATTTCAAAACAAACACACATACACACATACACAAATGATCCCTTACATAACAAATACGTATACTATACGTACACATATTCAACATTTTGAAGAAAACATCTATTGAGATGACCCCTTCCCCCGAGCGTGTGCTCAGGTGTCAATTTCACCTGTCGATACCGTGCATGCTGATGACGTAACACAGGCAGTTAATGTTTGTATCAAATAACGTCCCACTACCCGTTATTTTTCCAAGTTTTTGGTATTTTCATCAGTAAAAACACATTTTAGGGCATGTCTCAAAATTTATTCCCTCGGTCTACATTAGGTAGATGTTTCTTAAAGTGATATTTGTTATTTATGTAACTGTAATACCTCTGAATTTTAAATATAAGTCAAAAAGCATTTTTCTAGCATTTACGACGGTACTTTAGTCAGCTCTCCATGTGGAGGTAGTCCACTTCCTTCAAGGAAGGACTAGTCAGCTCTCCATGTGGAGGTAGTCCACCTCCTTCTAGGAAGGACTAGTCAGCTCTCCATGTGGAGGTAGTCCACCTCCTTCTAGGAAGGACTAGTCAGCTCTCCATGTGGAGGTAGTCCACCTCCTTCTAGGAAGGACTAGTCAGCTCTCCATGTGGAGGTAGTCCACCTCCTTCTAGCAAGGACTAGTCAGCTCTCCATGTGAGGTAGTCCACCCTTCTAGGAAGGACTAGTCAGCTCTCCATGTGGAGGTAGTCCACCTCCTTCTAGGAAGGACTAGTCAGCTCTCCATGTGGAGGTAGTCCACCTCCTTCTAGGAAGGACTAGTCAGCTCTCCATGTGGGAGGTAGTCCACCTCCTTCTAGGAAGGACTAGTCAGCTCTCCATGTGGGAGGTAGTCCACCTCCTTCTAGCAAGGACTAGTCAGCTCTCCATGTGGAGGTAGTCCACCTCCTTCTAGGAAGGACTAGTCAGCTCTCCATGTGGAGGTAGTCCACCTCCTTCTAGGAAGGACTAGTCAGCTCTCCATGTGGAGGTAGTCCACCTCCTTCTAGCAAGGACTAATCAGCTCTCCATGTGGAGGTAGTCCACTTCCTTCGACGAAGGACTAGTCAGCTCTCCATGTGGAGGTAGTCCACTTCCTTCAAGGAAGGACTAGTCAGCTCTCCATGTGGAGGTAGTCCAACTCCTTCTAGCAAGGACTAGTCAGCTCTCCATGTGGAGGTAGTCCACCTCCTTCTAGGAAGGACTAGTCAGCTCTCCATGTGGAGGTAGTCCACCTCCTTCTAGGAAGGACTAGTCAGCTCTCCATGTGGAGGTAGTCCACCTCCTTCGAGGAAGGACTAGTCAGCTCTCCATGTGGAGGTAGTCCACCTCCTTCGAGGAAGGACTAGTCAGCTTTCCATGTGGAGGTAGTCCACCTCCTTCGAGGAAGGACTAGTCAGCTCTCCATGTGGAGGTAGTCCACCTCCTTTACCAAGTCATTCTTACACACTGGTGAAGAAAGAAATTAATTTCTAACCCTGACCGAAGTGTTATTATATGAAACATAATGTAATGGCACATACCCAGAACAATCATTCCCACCCAGCCCTCTATTTTCATACTTTTCAACATCTCACCTTTTCTTCTGCCCTGATACAGCACCAGACACCCTTGAGAGGGGACGGACCTTTCCCTGGGTGGGACACAGACACACCCTCGAGGGTGATGATCCCGTATTGTGGCCACATCAGGGACGGCTTCACCTCGGTGTCTACTGCAACGTCTAACTCAGGAGACATCTGGTAATACTGAAGTAAACGCTCAGCCGACTTCATCTGAAACATGGACATCATGAACAGGACTGTGATCAGTGGTTTTGTTCTCATGCAGATAGGCTTTGAGAAAAATATCACTACAATATAGATATATGCCATTAATGCTTGTGGGAGGGAGACCACTGGGACATCTTCTGCCCAGGAATTCCCTTGGAGGGGAAAGCATGGGGTACTGGTGACCTTTCCTGTCTAAGAATCCACATAGGGAGACAAGCATAGGAATCGGGTACTGTGGGGACCTATTCTGTCTAGGAGTCCCTTGGAGACAGAAGCATGAAGTACTTCAAACCTTCTGTATTGGAATTCTAAGTGAGGGACAAGCTTGGGGAACTGGGTCGATTAGTCAGTAGATTCACCCCCAAAAGACCCAAGTGCAAACATGGATGAGATGCTGTATACCTTGAAGTGGACAGCTGCCGACTTCCTCATGGCAGGGTGCTGTACATTGAGCAGGTTGAGGGCATAGAAGAGAGACAGCCCTACCAGGCTACTCGGCATCCAAACACCTGGGGAACAGACACTTAATTATTTCATCTACTGCTACTCTTCATGGTACAAGGACAAAGGCAAACATCAATGGCCAAATAAAACTGACCTCTTTCAAACAATGTTAATTAATCTTGAGATACTATTGTCATATTGTACACAAAACAAACCATGCCATTATCTTTATCTTTTGAACAACTAACATTTGCTCAAAGCTCACCTTGATACTGAACAACCAATATGGCACCAAAGGTCACACCAACCACAACGAGGAAGGCGATGATGTCGACTCTCATCCCAAACCACCGGTTTGCGGCAAGGTGAAGGTAACATGCTGCCGTACTACGGTCCTGGCTCACATCAAAGTTGTGCAGGAATCGCTGTTCCACACCAAAAGCCCGCAATGTCTGGATACCTTCCATGCTGCTGATTATGTGACCTCCAACTGCACTCTTAGCTGAAGGTCACATGAAGGGTGAAAAGGGGGTAAGGTCTGGATTATTGCACTTCCTGTCATGTGCAGTCACACATGTGTTTGGCTGCCTGTACTGGGTCTGGATATAACCACACAACATCCCAGGGCCTAGATTTTCGAAGCTCTCTTAGCGCTAAGACTGTCGTAAGTGCCATACATTAACATTAACTTACGGCTATCTTAGCGCTAGGAGAGCTTCGAAAATCTAGGTCCAGGTCAATACCTGTCTGTTTAGTTTAATGATCAACCCTGCGCTCCACAATGTTCATGGGTCATGGCAGTGGTCTGTGAATGATTCTGGTCTAACATTTGTGTGATTAATAGCTTAAGCATTGATCTACACAACTGGGATATGATCTATCAACCACCCAATCCCTTTAGTCACTTTGAAGACACTTCTAGCCCTGACCTTAGATACATATACTCCCCATCAAAAGTTTAGACTCACTAGTGTAAATGTAGCCACTTACTTCAGTCAACTGATCTAAACTAGATTTTGCAAAATATTCAATACTGTTTAAAGGTACTGTTTTCACATGAACTGATGTATTGTGAAACAAATTCGTAACGTTGAAAAGATTATTGTCATGAGTTCAACAAATGATGAAACTGAGTGAAAATTGCCAAATTCTTAACAAAACTTAACACCAAAACGCAGCTGTTCACATGCACGATATTTGCACATGCTTTTCAGCAATTTGATGCATGAACCTCGTGCAATTCATCTGCATAAGGTTTGCAGTTGGTTCCCCTAAGTTAGTGGAGAAATTTGATATAACCACATAATATACATAACATATAGTGAGTGCTTTAAGTGAGTCTAAACTTTTGATGGGTAGTATATTCCTGAACAAACTACCCTCATGACAAACACAAGAACTTCTCCTACAATATGATCAGCCAGTATACTAGCACAATTATCTTTTATGATTATATAATGGTGCTGCTGCTTTTATGTTAAAAAGAATATTCCTAAACCAACATTCCAGTATTCACCGATGGAGTACTTACATGCCAATTCGATCTTTTCCACGTCCTGTGTGGACTGGTGGAAGTAGTGTCTGGCCACAATGAAGGCGATGGTCAGTGGAGTGACCAACAGGAGCAGCCAGTAGTTGGTGCCCCCAACCACAATCACAGTAGCTATCAGCAAACTGAACGACTGAAACATGCAGCGATTTCTTGTCTACACATATCAAGTGAAATGTAACTAGAATGATTTGAACATGTAATTATGTTTGTAACATAATATTAACATGTCAAATTTGTAACATAATATTAACATGTCAAATTTGTAACATAATATTAACATGTCAAATTTGTAACATAATTTTAACATAATATTAACATGTCATAATATTAACATGTCATGTTTGTAACATAATATTAACATGTCATGTTTGTACCATAATATTAACATGTCACATTTGTAACATAATATTAACATGGCAAATTTGTAACATAATATTAACATGGCAAATTTGTAACATAATATTAACATACATAATATTAACATGTCACATTTGTAACATAATATTAACATGTCAAATTTGTAACATAACATTAACATGTCAAATTTGTAACATAATATTAAAATGTCAATTTTGTAACATAATATTAACATGTCACATTTGTAACATAATATTAACATGTCAAATTTGTAACATAACATTAACATGTCAAATTTGTAACATAATATTAAAATGTCAATTTTGTAACATAATATTAACATGTCATATTTGTAACATAATATTAACATGTCAAATTTGTAACATAATATTAACATGTCATATTTGTAACATAATATTAACATGTCACATTTGTAACATAATATTAACATGTCAAATTTGTAACATAATATTAGCATGTATGTCAAATTCGTAACATAATATTGGAAATTTTAATATAAATTGTATATTCATATACTTATCCTATCTCACGACTTGAACCTCTCTCTCTTGCTTCGACTTTTAGTGGAACGACTGTAAACTTTTTTCCATAGGCCTCCTTGTCGCCCATGCACTACATGCTGCTCTCCTTAATTAGCTTCCTAGTTCCTAATAAAGCTTGCAGCATGCTCCACTAATTGCCCACGTGACTACCTTGAATGATCATTCTCATCTTGGAGCCAACATTGTAATCTGAGTAGTGGGGAGGCTGGGCGGGATAGGATAAGTATATAAATATACAATTTATATTAAAATTTCCAATTTCACGACTTGCACTTATCCTACGGTTGCATGACAGGCCGCAGATTACCCTTCTGTCTGGACAGTGCGAACAGCTGGTCTTGGAGCTGTGTGGACTGATGACAACCGTAGATAGCCATGTACAAGGGAGGCCTGTTACGCATGCACGCAACTCCTATGCTTGTGTTGGGTTCTCTGGAACCCCTTGGGTTACTAAGCACAACGACTCCCAGGGAGATGGGTGCTCCCGAGCGATGTGGTGTTCGGCCGCAACCTTGTACAAGACAAGGGACACAACTCAGCAAGTAAGCCTCGCCTCGCCACGATTTACAGGGTACCCCCGCAATTAAAGTCTTGCGACTAGAATCGGGCCAGCCCCTGCTTCAAGAAGGCCCCACAGACACCGACCGAGGCGGGTGAAAGAGAAACACAACTCCGCATCTCCAAGCGTTCAGTTCAGGGCAGCATCAAATTGACCCTCACTCCTTTGCCTAAGCTTAATCAAAGATGTGCCCGGAAATTTGGAGGCAGAATGCAATGAAATCCACTGGAATTTGGGAGTGTCACACTTCACTGACGTAATTGCTCCGTGGAGTAGAGGTCAGTAAGCGTGAATGTCGAACACCTCTGCATCGTCATACTGATTGTGCCTCAGGTCCGTAGGGCCACACTAGGTGGCCGTATTCTGATGCCTTGGTATGGAGGCCAAGTGAAGTAGTTCTTAAACCTATATAATGAGAACAAAAGGTTGAGATCCAGTTCAACTTTTATTCAGTATACAAGGAAGTAGTAACGCGAATGCGGAACCGTCCCTCATCTGCGTTGTTGGGCCGATGTAAGCTGCTGAGCCAGTACAAGAGGTCCGAACTGGTGTAGTCCCTGGAATCCGTGATAGACAGGTCTCGCAGGTAATGTGAAGAGAAGACTGTATCAGAAACGCCAGAAGCAACCTTCCATGATAGTGGTCAAGGAGCAGTTGCTATGAAGGGCCATCATCGAAGCTAGTGCACGAGTCTCATGAGGATTGGAAGCAGCTGGAGAAGGCAACCCTGCAAAGGTGTAGGCTCGCAGGATCGTGGCACGCATCCAGAAGGCCAATGTGGTCCGGGAAACATCAGTTCTTGAAGTGTTCGACAAGGGTATGAAGAGGCGCTTCCGTAGCCGTCGACGATCCTTGGAGGCAGCAACGTAAACGTGTAGAGCCCTAACTGGGCAGAGTGTCAAATCTTCATTATCATGAGGCCCAAGAATGGTGGACAACGGGGGAATGGTAAACATCCGGTCCGGTTGCCCTGGCAGTTGGTTTCTCGCAATGAAGTCCCAGCGTAGACCCAGGAAAGCCTTGCCATGCTTCTTCCGCCCGAACCGCACCCGATTGACATCAAGCGCATGCAGTTCAGATATACGAGCAGTGGTAGCCAAAGCTACCAGGAAGAATGTCTTGAATATCACTTGTTCGAAGTCCTTGTCTTCTAAAGGTTCATAATCTGTAGAAATCATATGACGAAGGACGACGGACAGATCCCAGGCCGGAGGTCTGAACTTCCTGGACTGGTCAGAGAGTCTATAGGAGAGTAGTAGACTCTGCAACTCGGGAACAGTGGAAATCTTCGTGCCCGTGGTGGTAGCCAAAACCGAGTTGATGGCGGCTAAGTAGGTAGCTAACGTAGTACCCTTGAGTTTCTTAGCAGTGCGGAGATGCTGGAGAAACTCAGCAATGACCTGAGCCGAGGTGGAAGTGGGAGATCCAATTCCCCTAAGCTTGCAATAGTCTTCAAACTTCTTCCACCTGTTGTCGTACAAGGAACGGGTCGAAGTACGATGCACTGAAGTGATAGCTGTGGCTACTCGGCGAGAGTAGCCCTTAGCTATGAGAGACCTCTGAAGATGCGCCAAACGTGTAGATTGAGGGTCTTGGGTGACCAGTGGTGCAGTTCCGAGTGAGGGTGAAGAATTAGGTCGTCCCGATTGGGAAGTGGTACTGGGTTTGTCTCTGCCAGGCTTCTTAGGTTGATGAACCAACTTCTTGCTGGCCAGAAGGGTGCGACCAAAAGCAGTAGTATGTTGCTGGTGGCCAATAGTTTCTGTATTACTTTTGATAGCAGAGCTGGCATTGAGACCCTCCAATGATATTGCCAACACGTCGAGGTCCCACGCCAAGCAGTCTGGGATTGGTGATATGAACTTTGGAAGTTGGTTGTTGAACCTTGTGGCGAACAGATTTATTTGAGGCTGTGATAACGGGTAGATCATCGACTGAAAGATCTGGGGCAGTAACTTCCACTCTGTCGGGGATGGTCGGTTGGATCGGGACAAGGCATCGGCGATCACATTATTTACCCCGGGAATGTGTCTAGCTCTGGCTACGATGTTGAGTGAGTTGATGAGATGGAAGAACCTGATCGCCAATTGAGCAGAATCGCCGAGCCTTGTCAGGCCTAGATGATTTATATATCAAACCACTGTCGAATTGTCTGATTGGATCAACAGACTGGTTGATTGAAGCTGTGTTGCCCAATGTGAGATGGCTTGAATTACCGCCTTGAATTCCAGCTCGTTTATATGAAGTACCCGTTCGTCAGATGACCACAGCCCAGCCACTTGGTGGTCAAGGAAGTGAGCTCCCCAACCCATGAGGGATGCATCGATGAATAGGTGATGAGTCGGTGCAAAGGGCATCATAGAGACTCCAGCGCAAACATTCCATTTGTCGAGCCACCATTGAAGGACTGGACAAAGCAGTTCTGGAAGGCAAATTAGTTCCTTGGGGTTGTCGGCCTGAAGGTACGGGCGTAGAAATGGCTGTATCGGCCAAAGTTGGAGATGTCCTCTGTACATTAAGGCTTGAGCTGACGTCAGAAGGCCCAGTAGCTCCTGCCACTGTCGTAAGGTTCTTGCCTGAGACAGTCCTGGAGGAATGCATTGCTGAATCTTTATCCACCTGTCGTGAGGTACGAACATCATCCCCTGACGAGTGTCGAACAGTGCTCCGATGAATTGGAGTTTCTGAGTGGGTATTAGTTCCAATTTCACGATGTTCACCAGCCACCTTAACTGTCTGAGCAGCGTGGTGGTGAACTGTAGCTGGCGAAGAAATACGATCAGATCCTGTTGAGCCTGGATGCAATCGTCTATGTAGCTTTCGAAGGTGATCCCTTGAAAGTGGAGGAAGCTCGTTATGGGCCCGTGGAAATTCCAAATGGTAGGACTTTCCATTGGTAGTGATTCCTGTCAGGCTCTTGAAACCATCATTTAGTGTACTGGATAATTTCAGAAAACAAGGTCGAGGTGGTACGGTGATGGTAGACCAATCCCGGTTCCTAAGAGTATAAGAGTGATCCAGGTCATCTGCTGAAGTACTCAAGGGAAGTTGGAGCTTCTCAACAATCCAAAGGAGTACCTGAGGTGTCTCAACAGCTGCAAAGCTACCCCCAGGGGTAGATAACTCAGAGTGAGCGGGAGATGCAGGCATGGCTATTTGGACTAGATCAATCTCAGGAGGTGGACCAGATGAAGAGCCAGGAGCTACCGAAGCCGGATGGGCTGGAGTAGACAGCTGTATTTGGTTCCAGGCTGAGGTTATGGCCCTGATCATCATATTTAGATCTGGAGTCGCTGTAGGAGTGGAATTGTTATCAGGTTCCCATGACTCAGCGATGATCCTAGAGTGAGTCGAAGGATTCTCAGCATGATATGAAGAACTAGTCCGGGTCGCTGTAGTTCTAGTTGGTGATCTGGTTCTGATTGGAGCTCTGGTTCGACCATCTGAATAGGATCGGCCATGAGATGTGGATCTGTACTGTGATCCCGATTGGTCAATGGCTCTGTAAGGTGATCTAGATCGTATAGGTGACCTGGGTTGGTAAGATGATCTGGATTTGTAAAGTGATCTGGATCTATTCGATGCACTAACTGGAAACTGTGATCATGATCTGGATCTGTAAGGTGATCTGGATCAAACAGGTGACCTGGTTTGCAGTTGCGATCGGCTTGATTTGGTGATCTGGATTGGTTACGTGATCTACTTTGATGCTGTGATCTGGATCGGTTCGGTAATCTGGATCGGTCTGGCGATCTACTTCGATGTTGTGATCTCGATCAGTTAGTTGACCTAGATCAGTCCGGTGATCTGATTCGAAGATGTGATCTGGATCCATTCGGTGATCTGGATCAGTCCGGTGATCTGATTCGAAGTTGTGATCTGGATCCATTCGGTAAACTGGATCGATTAGGTGATCTGGATCGGTCCGATGATCTACTTCGATGTTGTGATCTGCACCCGTTTGTTGATCTGGGTCGGTTAGGTGATCTGGATTGATCAGGTGATGTGGATCGTAGTTGTGCTCTGGATCGTGACTGTGATCTGGATTGATCTGGTGATCTGGATCGGCACGGTGATCTAGATCGGGCTTGTGATGGTGATCTGGATCGTGAAGGTGATCTAATGAAGCGTCCATAAAATCCTCTTGGACCACAGACGTCACTCTCTTGCGTGAAGGTACGATTTTCTGTCGCTGTAACTTGATAGGTTTGGCGGGAGTGGGATCAGATTCTGTTGATTTCCTGTCCCTATCGGCGATTCTCCGGGAGCAAACACGAAGGTAGGCCTTAAAATCCTCATCTTTCAGTGAATTACACTTGCCACATTGTTTGTTCCAGTTACATTGTCCAATACAGTCACTGCAAGACGAGTGAGGGTCAAGGGATGAATAATTCGCCTTGCATTGAGCACAAACTTTCCTTTTCCTTGACTGATTATCAGTTTTCCCCATGATGTTAGGGTGAAAATAATGTCCCTAATATACAGTCCACACAGTCGTGCGACAAGAAAGAGAATGATCATTCAAGGTAGTCACATGGGCAATTAGTGGAGCATGCTGCAAGCTTTATTAGGAACTAGGAAGCTAATTAAGGAGAGCAGCATGGAGTGCACGGGCGAATAGACAAGGAGGCCTATGGAAAAAAAGTTTACAGAGAGAGGTGCAAGTCGTGAGATAGGATAAGTTTAAAAATTTAACATGTCAAATTTGTAACATAATATTAACATGTATGTCAAATTTGTAACATAATATTAACATGTTGTCATATTTTTGTTACATAACATCAACATGTAATTAGACTTGCAACAAAATACTAAGGTGTGATCATGTTTGTAATATTATGTTCCAAAATCAACCCAAGGATGCTTATTTTAAACTTCATATACACTATCTGTAGTGACAGAAATGATTTACGATGTTATTCTGATCGACCAAATTTAGTGAAAATAGAATTAACAAGTGACAGGTGATTTCTGAACATACCTGGATACAGTCCAACAGTATTGGTGGCATCGTGTCCACGATTCCAACATCCCTCAGGAAACGACTCAGAACACCACCTGGAAGGACATGGAACATCAAGAAATACCGTTCCCCATCCATCAATTTCAAATACACATAACATTGATGTCAAAGAACGTCATGGATGTCTCCACGATGGAGGGGAGGGCAGGGTTGTGGGTGAGATTACCCGGACTGTTGATGTCAATGAAGACCATGGGGGTCTCCACGATGGAGGTGAGGGCAGGGTTGTGGGTGACATTACCTGGACTGTTGATGTCAATGAAGACCATGGGGGTCTCCACGATGGAGGTGAGGGCAGGGTTGTGGGTGACATTACCTGGACTGTTTATGTCAATGAAGACCATGGGGTCTCCCTCGATGGAGGTGAGGGCAGGGTTGTGGGTGACATTACCCGGACTGTTGATGTCAATGAAGACCACGGGGGTCTCCAGGATGGAGGTGAGGGCAGGGTTGTGGGTGACATTACCTGGACTGTTGATGTCAATGAAGACCACGGGGGTCTCCACGATGGAGGTGAGGGCAGGGTTGTGGGTGACATTACCTGGACTGTTGATGTCAATGAAGACCACGGGGGTTTCCACGATGGAGGTGAGGGCAGGGATGTGGGTGAGATTACCTGGACTGTTGATGTCAATGAAGACCATGGGGGTCTCCACGATGGAGGTGAGGGCAGGGTTGTGGGTGACATTACCTGGACTGTTGATGTCAATGAAGACCATGGGGGTCTCCACGATGGAGGTGAGGGCAGGGTTGTGGGTGACATTACCTGGACTGTTGATGTCAATGAAGACCACAGGGGTTTCCACGATGGAGGTGAGGGCAGGGTTGTGGGTGAGATTACCTGGACTGTTGATGTCAATGAAGACCACAGGGGATGGAGGTCGATGGAGGTGAGGACCAGGGTTGGGGTGAGATTACCTCTGTTGATGTCAATGAAGACCATGTGATGGAGGTGAGGGCAGGGTTGTGGGTGACATTACCCGGACTGTTGATGTCAATGAAGGACCACGATGGAGGTCTCCCGATGGATGGATGTGGGGTGAGGGTTGGGTCACCTGGACTGTTGATGTCAATGAAGACCACGGGGTCTCCACGATGGAGAGGTGAGGGCAGGGTTGTGGGTGACATTACCTGGACTGTTGATGTCAATGAAGACCACAGGGGTTTCCACGATGGAGGTGAGGGCAGGGTTGTGGGTGACATTACCTGGACTGTTGATGTCAATGAAGACCACAGGGGTTTCCACGATGGAGGTGAGGGCAGGGTTGTGGGTGACATTACCTTGACTGTTGATGTCAATGTAGACCATGGGGGTTTCGACGATGGAGGTAAGGGCAGGGTTGTGGGTGAGATTACCTGGACTGTTGATGTCAAAGAATGCCATGGGTGCCTCGAGGATGGAGGTGAGAGCCAGGTTGTGAAGCACCTCAGCTGCTCTGTTGGCCAACCAGAAGAAGAATCCCGCCTGTACAAAGCTGAGGAGGACTGTGAAGAAGACGAGGCCCAGGTAGATGTACACCTTGTCATCCAGTATCCAGATAGCTGGTCCGAACACCGTCACATTGATCACACTGCTCTCGTTGGTGCTCTGGAAATTCTCAGACCTAAACGGAAGTGTCTCTGCTTAGTATTTTCAGGAACAGTCATGTGTGGATGGATTCAAAATAGCCTGCAAATGTATCAGACTAAAACAATGTTTGTTGTTTAACACTGCGTTCAGCAATATACTGCCTATATGACAGTGGCCTGGAATCTTGACCAAGTCACCAAGCTTAACCAACTGATCAATCAAGCCTCTTACAACCAATATACTTTGCTCCCAACTCATTCTTAACCAGAATCACCAATGGCTCAGAATATTTTGAAACTGACTAAGAAAAACTGTATTACATTGATTATGAAATCATTGTTTCTCCCAGAGAAATTAAAAGAAGAAAGGTTTCAGTAGGAGATTTTGAGGAAAGAAAATGGATCTCTAGAAGGTATCTATCCTCACCAGTAGGCCAGCCACCACTCACACAGGACAAATCCCCCCTGGAACAATCACAATACATGTAAAACTGTCACTTCAAACACAGGAAATCAGCAATGACAATGTATTATTGCATAAGGGCAACTGAGAGTTATTCCAGTTTTATTTTAAAGTATCTATTTCATATAATGAAATCATGTTTAAATGTGCAGGATCAGATTACACGAGTAATCTGTGATTTTGTATGAGTTCTATTTTACTGTGGAACCATACCACAAAAGATATATTTCTGAAAACTAAAACAAATAAAAATGTATAATCAACAATTATGTGTGACACATATCAATACCCTTACTACCATCAGAGACAATGACATACATATCCACATAATAACTGAAAGAACATCTAAATGAAATACCTGTTCAAAGATGCACAGGACGAAGAAGCCGATGACCCCGAATATCCCCCCTCCCAGCAGGAAGTACCACTTGTAGGCATTCCCGGCAGAGTAGATGCTGCGGAAACTGGTGTCACTGTCGCCGGTGATCAGAGTGTCACCTGGGTCCTGACAAACACAGAGTGAGTGAGTTAATGAGTTTGATGTACTGATGAACTTCTGCTGTATCACAGACTCCGATCACTGCAGCAGGAACTCATGTGTTTATTCCACATGATATGGCTTGTGGTTTTCACCATGTTGGTAAAAATACAAGAACTGAATTAATTCAGGTTTTCCTAATGGTTGAATAAATATATTATCAATACTGCCTTTTTTCCATGACTCTTTTTCCTATGACTTTTTTTCCTACATTCAGTTGTGATAATGTAACAGAAAATCATTTAAAACAACTCAGTGACTCAGATCACTGAAAAAAGATTATCCTCACCTTGTAGTCATGTTGCAGCATCTCGAAGGAGCCAGTGACGCTGTCCTTGACACTGTCTGGGGAGGACGGGGGCAACAGGGAGGAGGACAGGTCCTGTATGAGGGGGGACGAGATATCTGCCACCTTGTCCACGTCCATGTTGGTGTGTGTCCAGCTGGTCAGGAAGTGGCTGACACTGATGCCCCAGCGGTGAATGTCATCATAACGGCCCGAGAAGTGGACAGTGCCCTGGACAGATCAGGAACACCATTCATTAAGTCATCATACCCATCAACACCAAACAAGGAATGGTCATTTCCCAACAAATTAATCTAACCCATAAAACAACAATAAAATCCTCTCATTACAATTTTGTATGCAATAAAGAAATTGAGAAAAATGTGATCTGAACACTTAAAAATGTACAATTACAGTAACACTCAGTACTGACAAATATGCTCTTCAAACTGCATACCTGTTGCCAAAGTTTTGCCAAAACAGTGTAAATATAATCAGACAATGATTACTCTCTGTGTGAAGATCTGACAATTCCACTCTAAAGGTTAGCAGGGTTCATGTCAGGTAACCAAGAGCAGCCCTGAACTGACCAATCAAAATGAAGGAAGCATGGGTTGTTCAGCCAATCAGCGTATCCTACCTGAGACACCATGATGACATTGTTAGCCACCTGTGTGTGCTGAGCATTGTCCGTCACTAACAGTCGGGTCTTATTCTGCAGGAGCCCACAGATACATCTGAAATAACAAACATGAAATACTCATATACATGCCAGCTGTGTGTTCTTCTGAGTGCAAGAATCAAGTATCCCTCAATGACTATATTTAGTTAGTATATGCCTTCAAAGTAATGTGGTAAGAAGAGACTTCATGCAACCAAAACCATGATAGTGAATCTGCTCTTAAAATGCAAATTACACTTTGCAGTCATACATCATACTGAATATTTCATAAATACCAGTAGTTGTTGATCAGATGCTCTAAAGATGTATATAACATTAACGCACAGATCGCAAATTCATTATCATGAAATATGTATTTATTTCTAAAAATGAATTAAAAATGCTCATTAATGGGCAAAAGAGGTATTTATTTTTCATCAAAAGTAGTTGTGAGGAAATGTGTACTAACTTCTTGAAGATGTGCATGGAGGACTTGCCATCCATTCCTGACAGGATGTCATCTATCAGGTAAATATCAGCATTCTGGTACACAGCCCTGTGGACAATAAGTCATTCATATAGCTAAAACTGTTACAGTCTAACGCTGTAGGATCGATGTTGATGGGACCTTTGTTAATACTCAAGTTCTCCAATGTTTGTCAAACCCACAAAATGATTACTTTATAAGAAACAAGCAGGGACCAAGCTTTGCCTTCGTGACAAGTATTCACCACATCAAAGTTTGACACAACAGTGTTTGACTGAATGTGAAAACCTAATATTCACTCTTACTACATTAAAAACTTGAGTTTTATGAAAAGTATTGTGCTAGACATAAGGCTTCATTCATTTAGTAACTTAACAGTGAGATTTTAAAATCACAATGCACTGGTGATAAAAAATACAAACAAAGAGAGCAATAAAAAAAGAACACTGCCATTGGAGGTTATATTTGACTTCTTGTTCCACCAACATGGGTCAACCCATGTTTTGCCTTGTCCAGACTAAAATATCGCTGGATGTATCTTCCTACAGACTAATCACATCCAACAGTTAGCTAACCTGACCTGGTTTATCTTGGCTTGTATTTTGTTGTCAACAGTGACACCCCTTTATCCAACCAAACTGATCACATCCATCAGTAAGCTCACCTGGCCAGTGTAATCTTGGCCTGCACACTGTTGTCAATGGCGACGCCCCTGTCTCCCACGACCGTCAGATCCCCTTGAGGGAAGGCATCCAGCATCTGACAACAGGAGAATATATACATGAACATTCAGCAACAATGCCCAAAGCAATATAATGTCAAAGATGGCTGTTTAATCATATTTGGAGAACGGGGCCCATTTCACAAATCTATCGTAGTGCTAGGACTGTCGTAAGTCTATGCTACAGTATAGGAGGTACGACTGTCGTAAGTCTATGCTACAGTATAGGAGGTATGACAGTCGTAAGTCTATGCTACAGTATAGGAGGCGACTGGTGGTCTATGACCATATAGGAGAGGCACGAAGTCTATGCTACACAGTATAGGAGGTATGACTGTCGTGAAGTCTATGCTACAGTATAGGAGGTACGACAGTCGTAAGTCTATGCTACAGTATAGGAGGTACGACTGTCGTAAGTCTATGCTACAGTATAGGAGGTAAGACAGTCGTAGCGCTACAATAGATTTGTGAAACGGGGCCAGAATTTGAACCCATGATCATAGCTTTGTGGCACGTTATAATTATAAGGAGCATAACTCCACATAGCAAACTGCTATGCCTTTGAAGACTGGGCTCCCAGGCCTATGACACTTATCGTTTCTACAACACTAATATTATAAGAAGCAATCAAGAACTGTGTCTGTACCTGGGACAGGGCACAAGACTGAAGCACCTGGTTGTAGCGATGTCTCACAAACTCAGAGCCAAACACAACATTCTCCCTGATGGTCCCTGGGAACAGCCATGGCTGACGAGGAATGTACGCCAAGCGGCCATGATGGAACAGTTGACCTTTGTGTCTCTCAAGTTCACCAATAACAGCCAGGAGCAGACAACTCTGTCAGGGAATAAACAATAACATAATACATGTATTGTGATCATAAAATACAGATACATGATAGTTGATACACACTGAAGATGCATCTTGACGAACCATGCCAAGTGCTGTTTGTCATTTACTTAGACAGTAGTATTTGGGTCCCCAAACTGGAACAAATGTTTTTAAGCTTTTATGGAGGTTGTTGAATAAAAATGTTCCATATTTGACATATTTGATGTCAAGACAGTATAAGAAGTCCCATCCCAGATGACAGAAAACTCTGCTACCCATTACAGGGTAAACAAAATCATAGAAGTACTGGCATGAGTGAGTTTAATTTATGCCACATTTAACAATATTCAAGCAATATCATGGCGGGGAACACCAGAAATGGGCTTCACACATTGTACCCATGTGGGGAATCGAACCCGGGTCTTTGGTGTGACAAGCAAACATTTTAACCACTAGGTTACCCTACTGCCCCTAGAAGTACTGGACACATTCTCCTCTTCACTTGTGTGTGAAGGTCATCCAGTATATACTTTCGTTCAGTGCCATCGTGTATCAAATTCTGGATAGCATATGCACAGGAGGGGAGCCCTGTCCATGCTCAACCGGAAGTTGGTCATCATCAACTACCATTTGCTCAATAGACAGTCGATCCCGGTAGAGAGTGAGTCCCAAACTTCGTAAGATTTTGATATTTCCAAGTAGTATATGTTTATGAAATCGACTTGTCTTATAAACTGAATGGTCATGGATAATAGCCCCTATATCATTTGGTCATGACACATTATATTTTAATTACATTTGAAGCATTTCTTGACACGTCTCCCCCCTCATCAGATTATATGTTTTCTGACATCATACATTTTCAGACACAACATACCGGTAATAAGGTTTGTTCAACCACAAAGATATTTTAAATACTCAGATGATTTCTTGTTTTAAAGATAAAGTTCTCATTTGTAAGTTAGTGAGATCTTTTCCAGTTGTTATTGTGAATAGCGAGTGAACAACGAACGTTTCTCAATCATCCAAAACCAATAATATGAGGCAATTTGTTGACAAGAAACAGGAAAATTATAAATGACACTTTTGCATGAAAAAACTGTAAGAGCTATCTCCCCCATAAACCAAACCAGAACATTGGTTCTAGGAAACTAGATGAAGACTATATAACAATGGATGACCTGTCACGATTCAGAAGTACTATTTGTAGTACTGTTGTATTATAAGACCATGTGTTCTAGTATACCACACCTTGCCTCCATCTGGTGGGCCTATCATAGCATACAGCTTGCTCTGTGAAAAATAGACAAATACACCATGAAACAAGAATAGGAGAACAGCAAGCCACAGTTTTAACCCTAGTTAAGCAGCTCAATCAAGTAAACAAACTACAAATGATGGCTTTGTGTATCTGCCAAGTTAAGCCTGCATATATGCTAGAAGAAACGCATCATAGGATCATACTAGACTGTTTTAGCAATTGTTGAAGTTTGGTTTAAGCCAATAAAATGCAGTATACGTGATACATGACACATGAAAAAACAAACCAGCACACACATTATCAGCCATGTTGAGTGAGTGAGTGAGGTCAGTTTCACGCCATACTCAGCAATATTCAGCTATATGGCGGCTGTCTGTAAATAATTGAGTCTGTACCAGACAATCCAGTGATCAAGAGCTTGAGCATTGATCTACGCAATTGGGATATGATGACAATCAGCCATGTTGAATATTGTAAACTTCCATAAACACTTCAAACCTTCCTTACAATAGCATATAACAATGTGGCACATCTTCTGGCTATGTCACTAGATTGACCCTAATCATAAAATAGCACATGACAGATTCAAAATAACCCAAACTGGTTATTCTCCTTCTTTAAATTGAACACCACGAGGAATCATACCTTTTCTATGTCCAGTTCAATGTTCATTAACACCATGGCTGCATCCAGGCTCTGTAACAAGAAGAGGCATCGTACAATCAGTTCAGAAGTTGAGAATGTAAGGAAATAAAGGACCATGTTTGAGGCAACTCCTGTTCATCAACTATACCCAGCTTTTGACAGGGATAATCAAGTATCAGATGCATATGATAATTCAGTCTTGCATACAAACCCATTCGGCTCATGAAATCCTGTATATTCTGCCAGTGGAAATGTACAATATATATAACTCACCTTCTCCCTGCTGCCGAAGTAGTTGCTGAAGCGGATGACGATGTCGTTGTTGAGCATCTGGAAGCTGCCACGACTCATGGACAACGTCCCTTTCTCCTCCATCATGAGGAAATGCTGGGAAGCAGACATGAGACAATGTAAGGCTTTGAGTTACCCTCAACTCTACTGCTGCTACTGCACTGTGATATCTAAATCACTCCTTTTCCTTGAAATATTGCTAACACCAGTATAGGGTACATGGCCTCTGGGTACATATACAAGCTACAGTTCACTTTTAAACATGAACTTCAATTCCTAACTCAGTACTTAGGAAAATGACTCATAAAAGAGACTGACTGACTGACTGAGTTTGGTTTTACGCCGCTTTTAGCAATATTCCAGCAACATCACGGCGGGGGACACCAGAAATGGGCTTCACACATTGTACCCATGTGGGGATTCGAACCCGGGTCTTCAGCGTGACGAGCCAACGCTTTAACCACTAGGCTACCCCACCGCCCCTCATAAAAGATAACTAGCTTAGGCTAACTGGTAGTATCTCTAAATAATTACCCGACTGAAAAGAGAAATAGACAAAGATTTTGACAGAATCTGTCAGCTGTTACTGTCATTCAGGAAATCCTGTGTAAAGTTTTTCAAATAATTCTAAAACACATTCTGACTGTCACTTTGCCATGTGAGCAATCTTTTAATTGGTCACTTGAGAGGTTGAATATATGGTGTAATGGGATGTTACAGATCCTTTTGGTAAGGAGTAGCGAGAACTAAGATCTGTTGTTTTTTTCAAGACAAGATACTACAAGTATAACTGAGGGGAGGTAACTCTCTACATACCTGTATCTTCTTGAGAGTCTTGAGAGTGTCGTTCAGGAAGAGTATCCCAGCAGGTAGCAGGATACTCAGACTGATGCGGAGAGTCTCAAACAGCGCCATCGCCGTGAAGATCTGCATCGCAGTGATCGTCCTCCCTGTCACCAGCACCAACATGAATGTCACAAACATCACCAGCTTCCCGCTGTCAATGTCAATGCACTGTTGAAACTCAGCAACCGAGACAGCTTCCTCATGTGGACGAGCTCCTCGCTGAAAAATCAACATCACGCTTGTTTAACACATGTTGTCTTTGGGATAACAATTTCTCAGAAAAGTAGGGCGTTGGGGTAGCCTAATGGTTAAAGCGTTGGCTAGTCACGCCGAAGACCCGGGTTCGAATCCCCACATGGGCACAATGTGTGAAGCCCATTTCTGGTGTCCCCCGCCGCGATGTTGCTGGAATATTGCTAAAAGCGGCTTTAAACCAAACTCAGTCAGTCTAAGAAAAGTACAGATTCTAGAACTAATGTTAGATTCCCTCCAGAATGTGAGCCCTCACTCTCAGAGTCAGGTAACTGTTCACCAGTACACAAAGTCAGCGATCTAACCCACTCAGCCATGGTGAAGTGAAAAATTAGATGGCTGAGTGGGTTAGATAGCTGACTTTGGGATCTGTAAGACTGTAAGATAAATATCACTGTATTATTGTACTCACTCTCTGCTTGCTGTGAGGACCTTCTCACAGAGTCTCTCCCAGCAGCCCGTCTTCAGTTCCTGGATCCCACCGATGATGGACTGTAACTTTTTCAGCCGGTGGCCAGTGAATGTGTCAGTCTTCTGTCTGAAGGATGAATACCAGCTGATGAGTGAGTGAGTGAGTGAGTGAGTGAGTGAGTGAGGGAGGGAGGGAGGGAGGGAGGAGGGAGGGAGGGAGGGAGGGAGTAAGCTATGATTGATCATCACATCATCAGCTATTCTGTCATATATAGTCAGCTTCAGTGAAGGCAGTTATAGTTCAAAATTCAGGCAATTAAGGACCATGGAGTAAAGGGTGAAACTGAGTTTAACATTGCAGCAATATAATGACATGTGTGCCTACATAGGTATAAGACCCGTGAAGGTCATGTGTGCCTACATAGGTATAAGACCCGTGAAGGACATGTGTTCCTACATAGGTATAAGACCCGTGAAGGACATGTGTGCCTACATAGGTATAAGACCCGTGAAGGTCCGGGTTAGAATGTGCCTTCAGTAACCCATGCTTGTCGTAAGAGGCGACTAACAGGATCGGGTGGTCCGTCTCGCTGACTTGGTTGACACATGTCATCGGTTCCAAATTGTGCAGATCGATGTTCATGCTGTTGATCACTGGACTGTCTGGTCCAGACTCGATTATTTACAGACCGCCGCCATATAGCTGGAATATTGCTGATTACGGCGTTAAGCTAAATTCACTCACTCACACATAGGTACTTGTACTAGTATGGATTAATGCTTTTGTTTTCATTTTGGACATGTCACTGAATCATGTCCTGACTCTCCACTAGTCAGTATCTGCTCCATCCACTGATCCACTGAAAGATAGAGGCAGTCAGGAATCTGTTAAACAGTGGAACATTCACCTGAGTATCCTGGACAACTTGCCCATGAGGATCTGGAGGGGAAACAGCAGGAACAGCACAAAGATCCCGGCCATACACACCGGCCCTAATGACAACCAATCCCAGAGCAGGTAACAAACTATACCCAGCTGGAGAGGACCAATCAGAATGTAGGTTGCAGGAAGGACTACCTGTAAAACACAAGACATTATTGTTCAGCTCTTGATTATTATAAATTATGCTATAACAGTGCTGGAACATTATGTTATGCTAGGGGTAACAATATTCTGGCTATTTCATAATGGTCCATAAATAATTGCATGACAAACTTGTGGTTGATAGCATAAACACTCATAAAAACATTCAGGGTACATAGACACAAATCAGTAAGGTCACACACTGAAACACTTAATGATTATTTTATTCATCTCTTTCAGCAAGCATGGCCATGGTGTATTGGGCACCTGCTCTACCTCTACTGAGTCAAGCATACAAGCTGCAGTGATGTTGACAAAGACGCACCATTGGGAAGACGTCCATCTCTCTGGTGACCAAGTTGATGATGTCTTCCATTACTTTAGGAGTCAGGGCAGAGAAGGAGAGACGCATCACCTGGGAATATATTCTTTGAATTAGATATTCTTAATTACACCTACACTTTGCAAAATATACAAAACAAATGAAACATTTTATGACATATATATGACAAATGAAGAGGAACAGGCCTTGACACCAGTTTTAGTCATATATAGCAATATTGTACCAAGGTACACCAAAACAGGACTTCACCAATCTGTTCAGCAATCCTGCTATATGAGCATTAACCATTTACCTCTGCACCATCATTTATGAATATTAGACCAGTTTACTATACCGCAATACCATCACATTAATCATTCAGTTTTATTACTTAGTCTCTTGATATGTGCACCAACAAACTCAGCTTTGATCAGGACTTATACAGAGGATGAATATCCTGTAATGCTGCTTTAACAAGTTTTCCAAAAAGTATTGCAGTTGGGGAACCCCATTTATGGAACCCTACATGTGCCTTCATTATGATGGAAATCCCCACACATGCAGCCTCTAGAGACGGTGACCTTCACCTTTCTGTATATGAGCGAAGTGGCTGCTACCCTCATCCTGTAGCCATGGTGGAAGAAGTTGTGGTCCAAGAAGATGTTGACAAGGAAGACGACACAGAGGAATGCTCCGAAGATGTAGACATCAGGATAAGGCAGAGTTTCACCCCCTGCTATGTTGGTGCGGAACATCTGGATGAAGTGGCCCATTAGGATGGCCTGCACCACCCTCAGAGTTTCCTGGAAACAGTGAACATCGACATGCAGACATGTTCATCCCTGCATTGCTGAGGTGGGATTCACCAATTTGCTGAATTAGTGTTACTTACACTCACTATGAGCAATACATCAGTAACCTCAGAAAGTTGGTTCATGCTGCAGTCAGCCAGGTTCCAGCTATGTGATTTCAGTCAGTAAATAATGATGGATTGTTGGATCTTGTGACAAAATCAAATACTTAGGAACGTATTCTTTCCTTGAATCTCCACTGGGTCACTAATTGTGACCAGCGCCATGACTCACCCCAATCAGCATCAGAACACTAATGTCCACCACCACCTCCAGCCCACTCGCCTCCGTCAATACCACAAAACTCTAATGTCCACCACCACCTCCAGCCCACTCGCCTCAGTCAATACCACAAAACTCTAATTTCCACCACCACCTCCAGCACACTCGCCTCCGTCAATACCACAAAACTCTAATGTCCACCACCACCACCAGCCCACTCGCCTCCGTCAATACCACAAAACTCTAATTTCCACCACCACCTCCAGCCCACTCGCCTCCGTCAATACCACAAAACTCTAATTTCCACCACCACCTCCAGGCCACTCGCCTCAGTCAATACCACAAAACTCTTATGTCCACCACGACCTCCAGACCACTCGCCTCCGTCAATACCACAAAACTCTCCCCCTCATCAATACTAGCCCACTCACCTCCATCAGACACACTTACCTCCATCAGACACACTCACCTCCACAAGACACACCCACCTCCATCAGACACACTCACCTCCACAAGACACACCCACCTCCATCAGACACGCTCGCCTCCACAAGACACACTCACCTCCACAAGACACACTCACCTCCAACAGACACTCACCTCCATCAGACACACTCGCCTCCACAAGACACACTCACCTCCATCAGACACGCTCACCTCCACAAGACACACTCACCTCCACAAGACACACTCACCTCCACAAGACACACCCACCTCCATCAGACACACTCACCTCCACAAGACACACCCACCTCCATCAGACACACTCACCTCCACAAGACACGCTCACCTCCATCAGACACACTCACCTCCATCAGACACACCCACCTCCACAAGACACACTCACCTCCATCAGACACACTCACCTCCATCAGACACGCTCACCTCCACAAGACACACCCACCTCCATCGGACACACTCACCTCCATCAGACACGCTCACCTCCATCAGACACACTCACCTCCATCAGACACACTCACCTCCACAAGACACACTCACCTCCATCAGACACACTCACCTCCATCAGACACGCTCACCTCCACAAGACACACTCACCTCCATCAGACACGCTCACCTCCATCAGACACACTCACCTCCACAAGACACACTCACCATCATCAGACACACTCACCTCCATCAGACACACTCACCTCCACAAGACACACTCACCTCCACAAGACACACTCACCTCCATCAGACACGCTCACCTCCACAAGACACACTCACCTCCATCAGACACACTCACCTCCATCAGACACACTCACATCCACAAGACACACTCACCACCATCAGACACACTCACCTCCATCAGACACACTCACCTCCATCAGACACACATCAGACACACTCACCTCCACAAGACACACTCACCACCATCAGACACACTCACCTCCATCAGACACACTCACCTCCACAAGACACACTCACCACCATCAGACACACTCACCTCCATCAGACACACTCACCTCCACAAGACACACTCACCTCCATCAGACACGCTCACCTCCATCAGACACACTCACCTCCATCAGACACACTCACCTCCATCAGGCACACTCACCTCCATCAGACACACCCACCTCCATCAGACGCTCACCTCCATCAGACACACTCAACTCCATCAGACACACTCACCTCCATCAGACACACTCACCTCCACAAGACACACTCACCTCCACAAGACACACTCACCTCCATCAGACACACTCACCTCCACAAGACACACCCACCTCCATCAGACAATCAGACACACTCACCTCCACAAGACACACTCACCTCCACAAGACACACTCACCTCCATCAGACACACTCACCTCCACAAGACACACCCACCTCCATCAGACAATCAGACACACTCACCTCCATCAGACACACTCACCTCCACAAGACACACTCACCTCCATCAGACACACTCACCTCCACAAGACACACTCACCTCCATCAGACACACTCACCTCCAAAAGACACACTCACCTCCACCAGACACACTCACCTCCA